TCCTTTAAAACTACTGCTCCTCCTCAGGAAGAAAAAGCTGCTTTGGTTAAGGTCTGTATGTACAATAAGACCTGCAAGTTATTAGTTGGATTTCATATCCCAGGGGCAGCGTGCAGTCAGAACAGTTGTGATTCAGGGGTTTTATTAGCATGAGTAATCCTGTGAACTCCACATGACCTGATGCACGAGCACTGGACAATGCTGAATCAAAGTATGGAGTGTTAGGGTGGAATTCCAGGTGGATTGCTGAGCAGAGTGCCAGGCAGAGACTGAGTCTTGCAGTCCTTTTTAGAAACTGTAGGTGGTGAAGGGCTGTGATTGCACCCAGATATTAATACAAATGGTGTGTGTCACTGACTGGGGCATTCTGGGAAGTTATTTCTTGTAAAAGCAAAGCAGTAGAAGTGGTGTTTGAGGAACTGGTGTTTGAGTCTCGGCTGTTAATGGTATCACTGAGCTCCTTTTGTGCTTCTGTTACATTATCCAGCTTTCCTAGCAGACTGTGTCCCGATTCCTGAGCCTGGTCCTCCTGCTGTGTGCCCTCAGGGAACGCTGTCCTGATATCTGCAGACAGATTTCAAATTCTCAGGAATATTTGTCTTTGCTGCTGAAGGTCACTGGGTCCCTTCCCTTTCTGTTCTGTACCAAGAGGATTCATTTCACTTCTGAGAAATCTGTGGAGAGGACATGAGAGGACTTGCTGCTTCTGGACCAGAGTGAAATCTTCTCTGAGTATCTTGGAATTGGTGATTAATTTAAGCAAACAAAGGCTGTTGTACAAGTGCTTTTTGTGCACACCATCAGCAAACTTGCAGGTAGCTTGAGTTTCTGTTCCAGATCTGTGTATGACTGGTTTAAGCATTAAATTAGTTAGGTGCTAATATACTTGGAAAAAACATGTATGCCGTGTTGAGTTTCATAAAGTTAGCTGGGAAAGTAATTTTTACAATCAAAAAATTACACTGAGAAGCTTAAAATACGGAGGTGGAAGAGTGTTTCCCAAAAAGCCAGAGTACCTGCTTCTGCAAAGTAATGGGCTTTTCATCCAAGGTTGTGGTCTGCAGGTGAGTGAACCAGCTGGAAAAGCCTGGGATGAAATGTTTTGTGTTTGGCCTTCCTAGCCAGCCATGTGTACCAATTCAAGGAAAAGGAAAAAGCTCCAGCTTCTTAAAAACAACAGAAACAAACAAACAAACCAACAAAACAATGTCAATTTGCATGTGAGGGCTGCAGTGGGACTTGAGCATGTGCCTACTTTGGGCTCTTAAGGTTTCTTACTCAGGACAGTTGTTACCAGCTGAATTTATCTCAGAGTTTCCTCCTTTGCGTTGTCTTCCAGATATTGGAGAGACTGAAATGATGGAAGGGGACTCTGTGCTCGTCATTCTTGGGAAAAGAACTCTGGTGTCAATTTATTCCCCTCAAAATACTCATCTAAAAATGGGTGCATGAGCTGTGTCACGTTGCTCCTCCTCTGAGTGGAATCTGCTGCTGGTCCACCCTGTTTCCTGTAGTTTGTTTTTTCTGCACGAAGTGGAAAACTTTGTCCTTGTTTTGGGAAGTACCCTGGTGTAGTTAGGAACTAAAATTAATGCTGTGTATTTCTGTCCACGTTTCAGACAGGCCTTTGGTGCTGCGAGACGCGTTTCAAGCTGTGTTTACAGGCCACACACTTGCACTTCATGGGGATGCTTGGAGGGTGTGGGAGCTGTGCTTGGGTGGATTGGATGTGCTGGGAGATGAGGGAACTAAGGATGCTGGGCAGGCTGCTGGTTGACAAAGAGGGAAATATCTTAACTCTTCTGCTACTGCGCTTTGAAAAGACACCTCGAGCAGTTACAGAATTTGGAGTTCTCAGGTTTATCTTATTCATGGATATAATTTTAGATCCATGGGTTATTTGGAAATGTGGATAGTTCAGCCCCTCTTAAAGGCACTTCCAGCTATGTTTTGTTCTTTCCTTTGTATTGGGGTCAAGGTCTTTTCTGTTGTTATTAATACAGCACCTAGAGATCGTAATTGGCGGCGAGAGAATCCTTGTGCAAAAGCAGTAATTCATGCTTTTGAGATGTGAGGCTTTCCTAGGATTGAGGAAACTGTTGGAAAACCCTGTGTGTTTACTCTGGTAGTGTCACTTGTCACAGCATTGTCCAGGGCCCAGTCTCTGAGCAGTCCTAGTGTATCATTCCTTGTTCATAGGCAACATCATCCTGCTCTCTGCTTCCTGGCCTGGCTCTTCCCATACTCTCCACCATCATCTCCTGAAACTCTGTGATGATGCCCCAGCCCCTAAAAGCACCGGGTTATTGTACTATTTAGCATAAGGAAGGACTAGAGAATCCTTGAAACACTGTGGTGAGATGGCAGCGGGGCCAAAACTCTGGCAGTAAGTGCTCACTCCATGGAGAGGGCTCGTTGTGGCTGGAATATTCCAGAGCTTGGGTTTGAAGGGAGAGAGGAGAGCAGAAATACAGCAAACTGCTCCAAGCAGAATTGCTTCACTGCTTCAAGAACACCTTGTGGTTCTCAGAGCAGTTCTCCAGCGTTTCCCTCTTGCTGTGGGCACTGCTGGCCTGGGCAAACTGCAGCTGGCCAGGTGCATTTCCCATAAGGAATTTTAGAGTCATTTTGCATTCCTCTGCCTGTGGTGTTGCATTGCCACATAGATGTGTCCAGCTGTGCTCTGTAATCTTCATTAGAGAATTTTTTTCCCCAGAGAATCTTTTAAATATTTTTCTCACCATCATCTCTAATTCTGCATTTGTTCTCAAGAATTCATCCTGTATTTCTACCCCTTTGCAGGATTTCAGAAATGGGGCACAAGTGGTTTTTCCTCCAAGGCAGGGATTTTTCACTGGTGATTGTTGATTGGAGAGCTTTAATTTCTAGGTAGGCAGTTTGAGGCCTTGTCTGAACAAAATGCTGATCTCCCAAACCCTGAAAGTCTTGAGTCACTTGTCACTCCCCCAAATCACCACCAGTGTGATTAATGCTGTTTCCATTTGAGGTCTTCAGAATATGCAGAATCTCAAATGCTGCTTTAGAAGTATGAAGAGCAGAAATCAGGCTTCTAAGAGAAATTGTTTCTTGCTGTGTTAATTCAGTAGTTTGGTAATGGAAAGAACTTGCCCAAATTGACCTACCTTGAACTTGAGGTTTTCTACTAATGGCACTTGACTCCCACAGTGCTCTGCATGTTCTAAACCATTTTTAATCAATCTTCACATATCTAGAAGAGAGTTGTGATATTGAGGATTTGTGACCTTGCCAGGTTACCTCGGAGGGGTGGGATGTGTGTCTGTGGTGTTTTACACTGTCCCATGGACAAATTGTGCACTTGGTGCTGTGATGTGGTTGTACAAAGGGTTCTCAGTGTTTGTCCCAAGGCACTGCCAGCACTGTGGGATCATATGGATCACTCTGTGATCGTGTTCAGTCATCAGGACTCAAGTTACTCTTGATACACTTTCCCTCCTAAGTTTTTCTGAGAATCATTACTGGGAAATAACAGCTTCCTGCTGAGAAGATTTACTTGCCTCACCACATATGCCTGTCCCAAATGGAAAAGGACATTATTACTTGGGGCTGAGCTCTAAGTATTGACATTTAGCTTCCCATTTTAAATACTTTGAATATTAGAGCTGCACAGGCTTCATTAACGGCAGAGAAGTTCATTTGACTAGAGATGGATAAATTGCTTTCTCTGTCAGTTTGTTTTTATTGTTCTACAGCCAAATGGATTTTTCTGTTGGCTGAAGAATGCCAGACCTGAAATACTGCATTCTTTGCCCTGTCTGCAGGCCTGTAGTAAATACAGCACCTGTGGGTGAGGCCAGTCAGCTGAGAATGAATAATCATTTCATTCATTTGGCTTTTGTTTATACTTGAGATTTTTTTTTGTTTTAAACTAAGCACTGCAGAACCTTTTTCTGGTGCTCTTCAAGTAGCTGTTTAACAGCTCAATAGTATTGCCCTGCAATGAGAACAGCAGACAAAAATAACATTTTTTGGTAATGTTAGCTGTTAGCAGGAAGACTTCTGCTCATTTATTTTTTCCCTAATAAATGAGAAGATGAGTTACTGTATTTGTCATTAAGTCAGGTGCCTATGAATTCAGATTTTGGCAATATAACTTTTGCAGTATGCTTAACTTGGAAGCATTTCTACTGTGGATGTAACCACATGATAACATTTTCCATGAGTTGAAGCTGATTTCCAGCTCTCCCTGTGTCCCACTGCTCTGAAGGACAGCGGTGGATCTTTGGGAATGTTCCTACACCCATAGGAGTGGGTGACACTCTGAGTAATTGAGACCTGATTTCAGCTGATGAGTCTCACTGGTTGCCCTCCTTTTCCATCTTTTCATTCCTGAATGCTCTCTCTGGTGGAATTCAACAATGTTTGACTTACTAATGCCCAGGACTTTCTCAAGAATCTCATGTGTCATCAGGTAGAACATACAGACAGAAGTAATGGACTCAGCTGTGTCAGCTTACCATGGAATGGTTTGGGTTGGAAAGGACCTTAAAGACCATCTCATTCCATGCCCCTGCCATGGGCAGGGATGCCATTCACTAGATCAGGTTGCCCAGGGCCCCATCCAGCCTGGCCTTGAACACTTCCAGGGATGGGGCATCCACACACAGCTTCTCTGAGCTTTGTCCTTTTTATAGGCAATCTAAAAAGCGTGGTCAGAGAGGGAACTTCCACACTCTGCCTGTGCCCCTGCAAGGTAAACAGTCCTTATGAAAGCCAAAGAACTTGGCATTTAACCCCTTTTCTTGTTTGTTTTTTTTATCTTGCAATGATATGGAACACAGGAAGTGCACATCCTCACCCAAAGAGGCACCATGAGCATTCCCAACCAGTGCTCCTCTAACTGCACTTTCCAATGGGGCCTTCTAGTCATAGTCTTTACTGGACGTGATAATTTTGTGTATAAATAAGGTACAAAACTTAAAATACTTTTTCTAAACGCTGCTATTTGTTTTCCTTTGCAGAATAAGAGAGCTGGGGGGGCCGGGAGCACGGGACGATGCTGCTGAAAGGAATGTGAGCCACGGAGCATGTTTGGTGCCACAGTTACCCAGGTGGGCTCCTCTAATTGCACCTCTAATGAACCACAGGCTGTGGTGCTGCTGTTCCATCAGTGATCCTGAGTCTAGGAGTCTCAGGCCAAAATTCTGCCCTGCTTTCCTAGTTCCATACAGATGGCACTTGCAGTCTGAAACCTTTTACTTGTGTCTTAATTTTATCCGATCGTTGGGTTGCAGCTGGTCTCTCTTTAGGTGTTACTCTGGTTTATATCATGAGGTAGCCTGAACATTTCATGCACAGAGAAGATGTGGTCTCAAGAGATGAGGTGCTGAACTACATATGTGACAGTAGTTTTGAGACTTGATCCAGGTGACTCATCTACAGATTGTCTGCTGGGTTTCACAAGTCAAAAGCAGATGGGTAAAGGCTCCCATCATTGTTTTGCACACCAGTATTTAATGAACCAATATAGATTTTTCAGGATGTTTTGATAGGAAATGGGGAACTTTCTGATGTTTGGATGTTTCTTTTTTTTATCTGCCATATATTTAAAATTTTGGGGACGGATACTGAAAATCTTCACTTAGATGCTGCTCAGTTCTGTGCTGTCTTAATTATATGCTTATGGTAAGGAAACATGTTCAGGAGGCAAAGATCTGTCCTATGTGGTGGAGTCTAGGATCCTTCAAAAGCAATTCCATGTCCTGGAAGCGATCACAGTCCAGCACCACTGGCTGTCTTGCAGGTCTGAGTAAATAAATAGAGAAATAACAATTATATGGCTGCAAAGTGTTGCTGTGGAATAGCAGCTAACTTTTCTACTAGCACCAGCTGGCAAGTGGGAGTGAAAAAAACAAAGCAAACAGCTCAGAAAAGTAGGAGGAACAACAGTTCTAGCCTAAAAACTGACACATTGGGAGCCCAGCATGAAGAATAACAAACTCCTGTCACAGGATGTTTTGCATAGCAACAGGACTCTTGTCTTCAAGTGGACTTCAGTGTAACTGCAGCACTTGCTTCCTGTGTGAGATAAAGACCTGTTGTGCTCTGAATGCGTTGTAATCTCTATATCTAAATGGGACTAATAATTAAAAAGAATTAGCTGAAGGAAGCGATAGTGGAGCCTATTGCTCCTCAAAGTGTTTCCTCTTATTCTGCCGTCGGAGAAGCGAGAACAGAGACGCGTGGAAAGGAAGCAGATGAAAGATGAACTTTCTCCCCAGGTGCTGAATGCTGCCTGCAAACTGCTTTGTCCATGAGGGGAGAAACTGAGTGGGAATTGAGAGCACGAAGGAGCCCGTAACACACTTCCAACATGCGCAAAGGGGTGCCAAAGGACCCAGAAATAGCTGACCTGTTCTACAAAGATGACCCGGAGGAAATATTCGTGGGTCTGCACGAAATCGGACATGGAAGTTTTGGAGCAGTTTACTTTGTGAGTATGGTTCTCTCCTTTTTGGGAAGCAGAGTCGTTTTAAGTGATGTTTTGGAGATTTTTCAGCATTTGTAGAAATTAGCATCCTCTGAGCTTCTTAGCGCTTTGTGTGTGTTAATTTTCTGATAACACATCTCATAATAAGTGCTTCCAGAGCACTCCTGAGCTCTTTACAGTAGTTCTTTCTACTAACACTTCACTATAGTCTTATTAGAGCACCCAACCATACAGGTCAAGTATATGGTGTTTTGTGCTGTTTGAAAATTGAATTTAAACAGTTGGAAATTAATTTGCCAGACCTGGAGTTTCAAGATGCTCTACTTGGAGTTCATATGCTTGTAAATCACTGCAAATTAATAGCTCTAATGTCTTCAGTAGGAAATTCTTACATGACAAGAGCAAAGAGAAAGTCCTAAGAGGAATGGGAATTCAAGTGGGAATAATTTATGGCATTAATTGATACAGTCAAGAGAATTTAATTCAGGAAGTGAGAAGAGTAGTGCTTTTACAGTTGGTATCAAACAAAGTCAAATCCAAAATACTGGGTTTGGAAATCATTGTAATCCAGTTGCCATCAGTGAAACTAAAATTGAATCAGTTTAAAAAGTCAGTCAAAGAAAAATTAAAACTGCTTGGTAGCTTGGTCAGCCACTCAGAAGATCAGATTCACTGGAATTGGGGTTTCTGAATACCAGACATTATTAAAGTATTCACATAAGATCTGTTACACCTGTAACTCCATAAACTGGGAACAGCTGACATGAATTATTTTAAGCACTCCAGTTCACTGTCTGGAACTGTGTAAAGTGATGGAAGTGTTGCTAGAACAGGACAGGAGCTCGAAATGTTGTGTCAGATGAGCAGTGCATGTGTGTTTTGAGGGATAATGATATAATTCCTCAAGGTATAATCTACAAATATTGCCAAAACTGCTTGAGCAAGTGGCTGTTTGTCAAGTGTGCTCGTACAGCCCTGTCAGTTGGTTCAGCCAGGAGGATCCCAAGCACTTGGTGCAGCCAGAACTGTTACCCACAGCTCTGGCAACGTGGCATTGTGTCCTTCAGGGACAAATTCCAGCTGGAATGAGAGATACCACAGTCAGGTGAAGATACTTGGAATTAATGTGACAGAAATACAGCATTAATACATCTGTCTGAGTCAAATACTCTTGATCTTTTCTGTGCTGAATCAGGAGGGCGAGTGGTTGGGAAGGGTTTTGCCTTATCCATAGGTCCTTGTTTTCAGCTTTCCCTCTCTCATTTGAGGAGTGTGTGCTGTGAGCACTCTGTGTCACCTCCCTTCAGTAATTCCTGTGCTCTGTTGGCTCACCCAACATCACTTTTCTTTGAAGTCACTGCAGGCATCACGGAAGGTCTTTCGTTAATACGTTACTTGAAAGCAGTTTGAAAGGAGGATTTACCACATTTAGCTCCTATTACAGTTTAAGCTTTTAACTGTCACTAATTTTTTTTTGTCCCAAAAATGGTGGTTGGAGGTACAGAGATTTCAACAACTCTTTTAAGAGCAAAAGCTTGAAGTTTTCTGTCCTTAACATGCAGAAATGAGGGCAGTGCCAGTGCAGGCAAGGAGAAATCTTTCCAAAACTGAATTTTCAGTCTCCATCCCTGCATCATACAGGCTGCAGAAAAGTACAATTTTGAGTCAGTACAGAATTTTGATGTCACTACTACATATTGTACCTGGCAAAACTGAGATCTGGTGCAGTGAAAGGGAGGTTGCTTTTATGATTGAAAAAATTCCAGAATGAATCATCTCCTTGAAGCTGGGAATTGAAATAGCCACTGAAGAGTGTCAGTGTTGTATGGAGGTTTTGGATGAAATCACAGAGATTTTGGTACACCTCTCTATTTGTCTCCTTGGAAAACATTTTTCCAAAGGTGTATCTAAAACTGGTTTTGCTGCAGTTGCAATAAAACTGTATTTTGCTTGGTTTGTGTATCAGTACAGAGGTAACAAGTGCAGTAACTCTGAGGGAGGAACAGCAGGTGTGGAGAGATAAAGTCAGGGAAAAGTATCCTAATAGTTGTCTGGTAAATCTTATCACAAGGAGGACATCTCTGAGATGCAGGAACTTGCAAGGATATGATAGAGGAGGAAAAAAGCCTGTGTTTGCCACAGGCACAGCTCACTCCATGGGGAGGAAAAAAAATGAAGCTTTTTTCAATCTATTTCTTTCCCTACTCCAGGCTACAAATTCCCACACTAATGAGGTGGTGGCAGTCAAGAAGATGTCCTATAGTGGAAAGCAAACGAATGAGGTAAGATGGATAAAGGCAATTTTTCCTGCAGAAGCTGTGGCAGCCATAATGTAAATCTGAGCAGTGAAATGAGCTGCAGGTTTGATTTGACCCCAGCAGAACAGCTTTTCGTGCAGGAGCTGCTGCTCCCTTCCTTCCATGGGAAGCGTGGAGTTTTGTGGAGGGAAAATGAGTTCATGCAAATTTTGACAGATAGTTCAGTTTAAGGAAGTGAATGGGGATTCAAAATGCCTGTATGGGGGTTGTTGCAGAAATAATTTCAGTAATAGTGCAGTAAGAGCACACTGGCCACTGGAGCCATAACCACAGCTCTCTGTAATGTATAACTCACGTGAAACACTCTTCAGGATATAATCTAAAACTGCAGAGATCTTGTATTGAGAAAATCGGTTTTGTTTCAACTGTTACTTTTTAATTGTTCCTCTTATTTTTGCGTTGTGGTGCCGTGAACTTGGGTCCACTGTTCCTTTGGACTGGTGCTTTGACATGCACTGCAGGGTGTGTTTGTTTGTTAAGAGCAAACAGGGATGTTTTAAACTCATTTTTTCCTCGCTTCCCTGTTGGTCTCCCAAATGTCAGTGGTTTTATGCTGCGTTACAGAAGGAGGTGAGCAGCTCACTGCCACTCCCTGTAGCAATTCTGGTGTCTCGTGGGGCCAGGTGGGTTTGTAACTAAGTTTGAGACCCACTGTGTAAAACAGTAGCATTTAAGTAAAATGTATTGCAGTTAAAACGAGGGGGAAAAAATAATTTTTGCAATCCTCAAGCTGTTTAAATGTGTCTTGGGGATGTCTCAGTGCAGTGAGGATCCACACAGCTGATGTTCAGTTGTGCTTTTACAGCTCTGACTCTTACCATCTTCATATTGTACAGTAGTTTTATGGTCGCTTCTCAGACTGTCCTGCAGCGTGTGGTGATTGAGAGGGCGTAGAGGATTAAGCAGACAAATGTATTTATACCTTTTACCTTTTTATTTTCATTAGAAATGGCAGGATATCATCAAAGAAGTCAAGTTTCTGCAACAGCTGAAGCACCCCAACACCATAGAGTACAAGGGCTGTTATCTGAAAGAGCACACGGCATGGGTGAGTGAGTGATGGGCATTTAGATCTGCATGGGCAGAGAATGTACAGCACAGCAGTCAAATGCTCAGTGCAGGCAGTGTCTGTACATGCAGCAGTACTCATCCCATGCTGCCTGCAGACCCTTTCACCTGAAGACTCTTCCAAGTAATCCACAGGAAATAAATACTTAAAATATTGGGAGAGATCCCTGCTTCTCTGAGGCAGGTCTCTGTGTTCACACAGATTAAACACTTACTAAGGAACATCCTCTACAGCTTCTACCCACAAATTTCTCAGTGTCTAAACCCTCTTCACAACCTTCAAAGATGTCTTGACGTTGCTGAAGTGTTTGCAGGATCTTATTTTGTTCATCATTGGTTGCTTTTCTTGTAACTTCAGGTTTTCTTTGTGTCTGTGGCTGTTTCTCAGCCACTCGAGCAGGAACTGTGTGTGGGGAAGTGTCTACCCCTGTTACTTCCAGAATCATAGAATCACAGAATGGTTTGGGTTGGAAGGGACCTTAAGGATTATCTTGTTCCAATCCCCTGCCATGGGCAGGGACACCTTCCAGAAGCAACATTATTATTGATTATTCAAGGAAAAGGCACAGAATAAAGGGCAAGAAGTAACTTGCAACACTGTCCTTCCATGTCCATGTCTCAAAGTCTGATTTGAATTTCCTACTTGAATAGCTGTAGAGCAATACTGGTTTTGTGGTGAAACAGTACTAAAATAAAGTCAGATTTTGCATCTTCTGATGGAAAAGTAACAAATGCTATTACTTGGGTAAATATTTTATTTTTTTTTTTAACCAGGGCATTAAAGTTTCCATGTGACTTAAATTTTCTATGTGCAGCCCTTCCTTAGTTGTAAAGACATTTTTATAGTTTCAAAACGCTTCAAAAAGTGCTTAAAGGCCTGATTTTTTTTTTCCTTGCAGTTGGTTATGGAGTACTGTTTAGGATCAGCTTCTGATTTGCTAGAGGGTAAGTTTTATATAGTTTTATATCGTCTTTGGTTTTCTTTCTGCTGGTGCCCCTACTGAGTATGGTGGGAGGCTGTTTTCTCACAGGCTGGGGTTTTGCAGATAGTAGAGGTGGTCTGTCTGTCCTGCTCCATTCTGTACCTAGAATCTGGGACATCAAGGGTAAGCTGAGGCTTTCCCAGGAGGCCAGTGCTGTGTGCATGTTTTTGTGTTGTAAAATGAAGGTGTAAATGTGTATAACTATGTTCCTGTAATTGGTGCCTTCCTGGCTGAAGCAGTCTGCCTGTTTTCTGAAAATCCATCATAAAATCCTGCAGAGATCACCTTTGTCCTTGCCTTGTAGTTTGTAGGAATAATTACAGATGGTTGAGTAGAACGAGAGGCTGATGTGACCTCAAAACTAGAACAGCACCTGCAGAGAAATAGGGAATCTAAGCCAAAGTTTGCAAAAACTAGCACTCCTTGTGGGCCAAGTCTTCTGTGTGTAAGATCACAGAATGGTTTGGGTTGGAAGGGACCTAAAGGTCATCCAGTCCCACCCCCTGCCATGGGCAGGGACACCTCCCACCAGCCCAGGTTGCTCCAAGCCCTGTCCAACCTGGCCTTGGACACTTCCAGGGATCCAGGGGCAGCCCCAGCTTCTCTGGGCAACCTGTGCCAGGGCCTCCCCACCCTCACAGGGAAGAATTTCTTCCTAATATCCCATCTAAAGTGGCAGCTTAATGCCATTAAGGTACAGTCAAGCCAAAGCACATGCTGGTCATATTTAGGGATATATGGAAGGTGCTTCGGGGCACCTCTTTGTACCAGATTTGGGGGAGTTCCTTCTCTTCCACTTTCTCAGGAAAAGATCACTCTTAGTTTCTTCTGGTTTTTGGTGGTTTTTTTTCTTGATTTTTTTTTTAAATTTATTTTTTATTAGTTCACAAGAAGCCACTTCAGGAAGTGGAGATTGCTGCCATCACCCATGGTGCCTTGCAGGGGCTGGCCTACCTGCACTCTCACTGTAAGATCCACAGGTAAGGCTGGAGCTTGGGGCTGCTGAGCTCCTTCCATCTGCTCTTTTCTGATGTCTAAAATCTGCTTCACTGTGTTTAAACAACTCTGGTAAAAATTATTCTATCAAAATTCTCACTAATGGACGTGTCAGTACTCCTAGTGCCAAGGTAGATGTATAAATAAAAGCTGTTGGCTGTTAGGGAGTGTATTTTTTTTGGTTGAAATAGTTTAATGTGGGTCTGTCCTGTGCTGGATTCTCTTCCATGTTGGCAATAGTTCTCTGCAGACCCTGATAAAAAAAGAATGTTGGCACTAAACACTAACAGGAAAATATCACCCTAAATTTGCCAATTAGAATGTAGTGCTGTGCTGGTTTTAAGAGAATATTTTACATATGAGAAGGTAAAGCTTTATGCTTTCAGAAATCAGGCAGTGGAAGTCAGGGATAAAACCACTTCAGGAGAAATCAAAGCTCACAGGCAGAGGAAGATTTTATACAGACACTTCCTAGATCTGTCGTTCATAATGTGGTGTTTTTCAGGGGTTTGGATTTTTTTTTTTACTCATTTGTCAGCAGTGTTGCATGTTCTCATTTGATTTCATTTCTTTGGTCTAATTTTGGGTACCACTGATATGTCAGGGGCTTGTGAAGTGGATGAGAACTGGATTAATGGGTGGGAATTCATCAGAATAAAGCAACTTGAAACTGATTTATGGGGCTAAAAGCCTCTTTGTAGTCTTCTGGAAATCTTGAAACGAAAAATTGGTGTATCTGAGGCTGAGTCAGTGAGGGATTTTTAGAGACAGGAATTATTTGTTGCTTGTTAAAATAACTATTTGGGGCATATCTATACATGGTTAAATCATATTAAATTAAAAAAAAATAAATGCATTCCAATTTATGAAATGAAAATATTATTATTTTGGATGAGTCCTTTCCCCGTATTTGCGTGTAAAACAGCTGTTTTGAAGTATTTTACATGTTTTCGAAGTGCATTGAATTGTTATTTATGGTTAATGACTCCCTGTATGGACACTATTGAGAATGAGGGGGGTTTTTTGATAGCACTTCCTAGCATGGTGCAGTTTTGTGTTGTGAATTCAGCAGTTTCCCCTGATGAATACCACCTACTCCATGTGGCCTTTCCAGCAGCATCTTTGTTCCATATCAACACCAAAATGGTTACTTCTCTTTCCCACGGGGAAGTTCCTTTGCTGTTGCAGAGTTCTGGGAGCACCCATAAGGGATTTGCTGCTGGAAGGGCCATGTGGGTTGTTCCTATTGATCTTCCTAAGAAAACAGAGTGGAGATCTCATCAATCCATGGAAATATCTCCAAGGGGAGGTCAGAGGATGGTGCCAGACTCTTCTCAGTGGTGCCCAGCAACAGGACAAGAAGAAACTGCCACAAACTAAAACACAAGTTTCACCTCAACATGAGGAAAAATTTCTTTATGGAACAGCTTCCCAGGGAAGGCACGGACTGTCCCTCTCTGGAGACATTCCAAACCCATTTGGACACATTCCCGTGTCACCTGCTCCAGGTGGCCCTTCCTTCACAGGGGAACTTGGGCTGGGTGATTCCAGTGGTCCCCTCCAGCCTGAACTATCCTGTGCTTCTGAGACCTGCTTTTCATCCAAGGGGATGGGAAGGCAAATCTGCTCTCCCAGAAAAAAAACTTGTCCAGGGATTTCTGGGTTCGTGTGTGAAAAGGAGAGGCGAGAGAGCCAGTCCTGGCTGGGCGGGGAGCAGCGTTTGCTGCTGTGCACCACCCCTGTGGCCCTGGGGACAGTGAAGGCAACGCCGAGAGGGAGAAAGGACCGAATTTTGGGAGCGGGGACCGAATTTTGGGAGCGGGGACCGAATTTTGGGAGCGGGGACCGAATTTTGGGGTCGGGGACCGAATTTTGGCGCGGGGGGGACACCTGGTGGCGAGGGAGCGGCACTGCAGGCCCGGCCTCCCGCGCATCCCCGCGCCCGCCGCATCCCGGGTCACCCCGCGGAGGGCTCGGGAGGAGACGGTGTCGTTGTTTAATCGCAGGCACAGGGCTGGTGGATGTATTGCTGGTGTCTTGACGTGGCTGCTGAGTCGTCATATAGAATCACAGAATGGTTTGGGTTGGGTTGGGAGGGACCTTAAAACTCATCTTGTTCCAGCCCACACCTTCCACTGTCCCAGGTTACTCCAAGCCCTGTCCAACCCAGCCTTGAGCACTTCCAGTGATGGGGCGGCCACAACTGCTCTGGGCACCCTTTGCCAGGGCCTCACCACCCTCACAGTAAAGATTTTTTTCCTAATATCTAAGCTAAACCTACTGGCTGTCAGTTTGAATCCATTCCCCTCGTCCTGTCACTCCAGGCCCTTGCAAATAGCCTCTGTCCATCTTTCTGGTAGCCTCCCTTCAGGTACTGGAAGGCTGCAATTAGGTCACCCCAAAGCCTTCTCTCTTCCAGGCTGAACAAATCCAATTCTCTCAACCTTTCCTCATAGGAGAGATGCTCCATCCCCTTGGTTGTTGTACAGGGAAGGTGGTAGTGGAGGTGACAGCAAAGGGGACAGCATGTGTTCTCTCTCTCTCTTGTACTTTTGAGGTGTTTGTTCTTGCACACATACTTTTCTCTTTTTTTCTTTTAAAGGGATATTAAAGCTGGAAATATTCTCCTAACAGAACCAGGTCAAGTGAAACTCGCTGATTTTGGGTCTGCATCTATAGTCTCCCCTGCCAACTCTTTTGTGGGAACGCCTTACTGGTGAGTAAAGCCTGTGGTCCTTCAGTCCTTTATAAAACTTACCTTCCATTTTCAGTATTTCACAGTAATATGTAGCATAAGAACTTTTATTAACCAAGAAGTTTTCCTAACATCCCTGCATCCAGGTCTTCAGGAAGTGTGTCTTTCCTCAGTGTTTTAGAGTTTTAGGCTGTGCAGCACTTGGAAATGCCACCAGTTAATGGCTCCACTGTTGCAATGCCATGGGCTTAAAAACAATTAACATTTGCCACAGGTAATGGAACTAAAACAGCCCCATGGAGAAAGGCAGTCCTGTTAATCTGGCCATGCAGACTGCAAGTCACACAGCCACTTAAATCCTGTTTTGAAGGAACTTGCTGAAGGGTCACTTGAGTTCCTTGGCATTCCTAACACAGTGGACCAGCACAGCTCCATGCTCCACTGATTTTGTGGCAGAGGCCCCAGGAATTGCTGGGAGGTCACTGTGGCCCTGAATGAGGCCATTTGGCAGGAAGCCTGTTTGTCTTGGACGAACACAATTTAAGAGGCTGGATTTTTGCAGGCTGGGCCTGCTTCTTCTTCTTCTTCCCCCAACTCATCCCTTTTTCTTGGACCACCTTATTTCCCCACTGTTCCAGATGTCCCTGTTCCATTCATAGATATGCCCACAGACTGCATAAATCTGCTGGAAAATTCTCCTGGTGTGTCAATGGGAAGCTCACCAGCTCTGATGAGAGTGCAGGGGATCCTTTTCCCCCCTTTAGGGCCCTCCCAGCCCTTGCTGTCTGCCTGCAGGTACAATGCCTTTGGGATTAGGGGGTCTCCCTCATTTTATGTGCTGGGAGTGACATCCATGTGCCCTAACCTGCCCTTTGCTCTGTGGTTGGCAGGATGGCACCAGAGGTGATCCTTGCTATGGACGAGGGGCAGTACGATGGGAAGGTGGATGTCTGGTCCCTTGGAATCACGTGTATCGAGTTAGGTGAGTAAATACATGGCAGCTGAGATGACTAATTCCCTGTCTGCAATATATTAGGAAGTCCTGAAAAAAAGGAAGATTCTTATTCCTCATAAGAGTCCTTTTTTTTTTCTCTTTAAAATGCCTGACTTGGAAAACACTGACAGTTGAGTTAAAGATTTAACTTGCTGGCAAGCCACTGATGTGCTGTGTTTCCATGTTAGTCTGGTGTGCTTGGTTATTCCCTTAACACCCAGAGGATTCTACTCTTGTATGAGAGGAAACCATCATTTGTCATCTGTATTTTCCAAGCTGGATTCCGAGAGAGTTGTTCCAGCTGTTATGTCAAGGGAACTGGTGTCCTAAGGATTGTGTGTCAGGAGGGGCTTAGGTTTAATTTTCAACTCTTCTTACATCCCTGCTCTCTGAAACAAAAATCTTCAGTCTCAGCTGAAAGTTTGGGCCATGAATCATTGTGGACAGGCTCTTTACATGAGAAGAGAAGGGTTTGCACTGCAAGGGCAAATGATACACAGCCTGGAGCAGATGTGGATGTGGTGTCAGGTGTACAGAGCAGATTTGGAGTGCATTTTGATTTTGAATATTGACCTTCCATGTGCTGAGTAGAGTATTCTCAGAAATAGTCTTGATATGGATTAACATAGTACATCAATAACTTATTGTGAGGGTGAGTTCACTGAAAGTGGTATTGATAAGTGTTTAATCAGGAGAAATACCTGTGAGATAACAAAGAGGGGATGTGCAGAATGGGAAGAAATGTTGTCTCCAGTATGGAGATGGTGATGATGTAGGTGACTGGTAACTGAGTGTTGTATTTCATGTGCCAGCACGCTGACACACTCTGTATTTTGATATAAAAAATGCCAAAATCAGAAATTTTAGACTTCTCTTCTCCTGCATGGCCACTGGGTTTTGTTTGTGTGGAGTTCAGCAATGTTACAACCTCTCAAGGAGTAAATCACAGCAGTAGGAGAGATACTGTGCAACCTTATGTGGACAAAACTCTCTTGGTACCAGAATTTCTGTGGAGCTTTTCACTCAGGAACCTCAAAACCATTTTACAGAGTTGATGGATTTCCTTTTTTTCAGTATTACCCCTTTGGGAAGTATTAAACTTTTTTTTAAACTTCAGACCTTGCCTTTGCATGATTCACTGTCTGAACATGGGGTCAGGTAGAAGTGGGAGGAAATCTCTTGTTGAGCAGCACTTGGCTTAATTTCTTAATTCTTTATTTCTTCTTAATTACTTGTGTAGCTGAAAGCAAGTAGTGCTTAAAGAATTTAAGCAAATGTGGTGGTTTGCCTGCGTGTGCATGGCAAGGACAAGTGACTGCTCTGACCTGACATGAACTGAAAAATCTTGGCATCACTGGCTGGCATGACTGACCTTGGGTGGTGATGAAAACCAGCCTTTCCCAATTTCTGTGTGAGATCTCTCCTGAAAGGTCAGGGGCTGGTAGGCAGGTGCCCTCCCAGTGCAAGGACTAGGTAGGATTTTAGTTAGGGGGAGTTAAGGACACATCTGGCAAGTGAATTTGGTAAACTGTCCCACTTGCATGTGCTGCCTGTGACAAATGAGGCAGGCAGCCCCTCTTTCCCACGATTCAGATGCTTCAGCAGTGCAGCAAAGATCTGTAGGGATTGATACAGCATGTCCTGGCCCTGACCTGCTGTGCCTGAGCTCAGGTTTATTTAGTTGCAGCTGATTTTACCACAGAGGGTCAGGTGTGAGATGTTGCAGTTAAGATAAAATTTACTGGAAGCTTTTCCTTATAATTTGTGTTCTGCCAGTTTTGGATTTCATCATTCCTCTCCAAGTAAAGAGCAGCTTTTCTGGAATGGATGTCCTGATCTAACCTGGAATATTAAAATAATTAGCCTAAAAGATGTGACAACAGCAATGAGCCATGGATTCAGCAGTGATACCCTGCTTGTACTTCCATATCTTTCTCCTCTCTTTCCTCCAGGCTGCCTTATCACACCTTTCTCTTCTCTTTCTAGCTGAGAGGAAGCCTCCACTTTTCAACATGAATGCAATGAGTGCCTTATATCACATAGCCCAGAACGATTCCCCTACGTTACAATCAAATGAATGGTAAGAGAGCAATTAACAGATTATTTTTGTGGCTTATTTCCCTGAAAATGCTCTGTGATGCTCTGCACGGTTAAACTCTGACGAGGAAAGTGTTGGTTGCAGTGCAGTCATTTGCCTCTGTTCTCAAGTCATGCTCCTGTGTAGGCTGGCTCAGTTTTGCCCTTCTGTCACTTTGGCTGTGCTGCAGTCCAAGTGAGTGGAGGTGTTAATTATGGGGCTGTGGGTGCTGGAGGAATTAAAATATTCTCAGGCGCGTTAAATCGGCATCAGCGAAGTTTCCAGCTGCAGGAGATCCCCGACAGAAAAATTGTCGGTACCTTTGTGCAGCTGAAACGTGGAGAAAGGGAGGGGAGGGATGCACAGAACAGAGAGGAAATTGGATATTTTTTTTTCAGTGAGTGACTCCAAAAGCCATCAGAGCTCTGTGGCCAGTAAGTGCTCCCCACGCTCCAGGCGTGTTCCAGAGTCTGAGCTCTGACACAGGAATGCTTTTGTTATTCTGGGGGAGCAGAGGGGTTGCTCTGTTTCCTGCTCCCTGTTCCCAAGAGTGGAGTGTTGCTGTGGAGTGGAGCCTGGCAAGAATCTGCAGAAGGCTTGAAACAAAAGCTCCTGGAGAAACGTGAAGATCCCCCGTTTCTCTGAGCAGCAGTACTATTGAATTGCTGATGGTTTTATCCCAACCACTCCAGTTTCCTTATTTCATCATCTCTCTTTCATCTGTTTTTCAAGATTTGAAGAACTTGGTCTCCTACCTGGACACTGATACCCATTTTCTGTGCAGAGTTTGCAAAGCAGAGTAAAGAATAACTGTGAATAGAGCATAAAAATCAGTGTTTATGGTCCCCTGTTTGCTCTTTGGGGCTCTGAAGGCACAGGGAGTCAGCGAGGTGGCTTTTATGCAAGTTCAGTGGCACCTAAAATACCAGTTTTCTTCTTTCCACTTGTGATACAACCTCAAATAAAGCCTAAAATATTGCTGAACTAAGCATTGCATTGAGAGGCTTTAATGAGGCAGTTTTACAAACTCCCAGAGAGTAATAATGAGTGTGTTTCTGGACTTCCCAATAATTTCATTGTCATCTGTTTTTCAGTAGTTGAAGTAAAATTTTAAATAGTGACTGGTAGTTCTTCCTTGGTTTTTGGTTTGTGGTTGGGGATAGTTGTGTGTCCACTTTTGTTTCAACAGTCCTTAATTGTGAAAGACCTGATGGGATCAACTCACTCAATTTGGAAAATTCAGTTAATTTCTCTGCCCTAGAACTTAAGAACAAATTAGTCAAGATTTTTCTTTTGCTTTGCACTTATAAGTTGGCATATATTGCACATCCTAAGCTTCTTTTTTTTCATTTAGAACTTTTTTTTTATTTTTTTTTTTTTTCATTTACAGGACAGACTCCTTTAGGGGATTTGTTGATTACTGCTTACAGAAAATACCTCAGGAAAGGCCATCATCAACAGATTTGTTACGGGTAATTTATCAAATCTTTTCCAGAAATGTGGGGGAAAAATCTGTTTGTCTACCAGGATAATTGTAAAGATGGTGAACAAATACTTGCCCTTACAAAAACAAACAAACAAAAAAGGTTAATTTTGCTCTTATCTGAATCAATAGAGATTGAGACTTTTCTTTTAGGTTGTTTATTATTTCCTGACTTTGTCTGTTATGTCAGTCACTTCTCTTTGTAACCTGATGCTCAAGATTTGAACTAGTGGAGGAAAGCAGAGGTGGGCTGTGTGGTTAAACCAGTTCTGCTGTTGGGTGAGGAGTTACTTATGTTGGAGAACTTACAATCCTCATGGGATAACAGTGTGAGTAACAGGGATTTTAGCTGAAGGAAAAACCTGTCAGCCCAAGAGGGGTAGAAGGATTTAATCTTGATTTTTATTTTTTAACTGATTTTTTTTTCCCAAGATGATGCTTTTAATGAAAGTATTACCAGGGAGAAACAGGTCCAGAGCTGGGTGAGTTAAATCTGTGCTGCAACAGTGAATTCCAGCCCGTAGTTTTCTGTGTAGGCAGCACTTGGGGGTGTGTTTGCTGCAGCTGGGATGAAGAAGGAATTTTCAGCAGCCTCTCTGCCATGCTGTGCCCTGAGCTGTGACCCTGCAGCACTGTGTGGTCTCTGGAAAAGCAGAGAGAAATGAGGGAGGAAACTGGATGCAACTCTGGGGACAGAGGGAATGGGGCAAACTACACCTTGGTGAAGCTTAGTGAAAGCAAAGACCTTTCTGGAGCAGTTGCACAGTTTTTTATAAAGTGATGCAGCTGTTAACTTGCTGATGCTCCTTTTATTTATTTTTTTTTCTCCTTACCTTCTCCAGTAAGGAAAAATGCTATTTCTCTGTTGTTTAACAGGCAGTACTTGCTACCAAGCCTTTATGGGGTTTCTGTGAGATTTGAGGCTTGTAATTTGTTACAGGCTGTTGCTTTTGGAGGTGATAGGAAATCTAAAAGGCCATTTAATTGCTGCTCAAAATTAGAGTTAGCCAGTCTTCATAAGATACATAGGAAGTAGCACATCTTTTTGCAGAGCTGGCAGTGCTTTGAGATGATCAGAGGATTGAGGTCTTAAATAAAGATTTACAGATAAGGACTGGTTATTGAAAGGAATGCAGGTATTGGAGATGGGAAGACACTGGATGACTTATGATTGTCTCCTGTCCAGAGCAGGATTGGTCTCTGTGGAATGCTCTGAGCTGTCCTGTCTTGTGGGCTTTTTTCACAGACACAGATGAAGTTCAGAGACCTTTTTTTCCTCTGATAATACTAATGTGAGCATGATTAATTCTTTACCTGTCCATACCTTTTGGGTATATATCTTTTAATGATCTTTCTGCCTGATCTCACAGAATATTCTGAGTTGTAAGGGACCCACAAGGATCATCAACTCCAGCTCTTAAGTGAAGGGATCAAACCCACAACCTTGGTGTTATTAGCACCATGCTCTAACCAGCTGAGCTCATCTCAGGGTCACTGCAGCTCTTGGTTTTGCTCTGCTGTAAATCATCCATTTGGGTCTTTCTGATCCTCTTTTTGTTTATTTTTTTTGTTGTTGTTTTTCTTCTTTTCCTACATTCATGCATCACACTTGGCAGCTAAAAGCAGCACTGAGAGGATAGGCCAAGGTTAACTTCCTCCCTTAATCAAACCACCAAACTTAAAAGTTGTTTATTTCTCTTTAATAGTTTCTATACTGTACCCAGTTAATTAAACTTGTTTTGAAAATAACTGAATCATTTTGGAAAGGGCCTGTGCAGGTCCATAATTGCCAAGAGCCTGTGGGAGGGGGACTTGTGCTGGGAGTGATGTTTGCCAAGGTTTTGTCAGTGAATCATAAATCAGTTCCAGTTTAAGTCATTTGGTTTCAGTTTACCTGAGAAATTATAGGAACTGTTTATAACTCCAAGGGCTTTGTGTTTGGGAAATTCAGGAGCAGCCTTCCACTGGAAGGTAGGGAGGTGTGTGAAATCCTGTTCAGCCCCTTTTCCATAAGGCTTTTTCCTTTTCTTTTAAGTCTTGCCTTCCTTTAAAATTGATTAGTAGCCCTGCTATCCCTCTGGTTGCTGGTGCCAATTGCATGACATGCTGCTGTTCCACACCAGGTAAACAGGAGTCAGCTTTTCCCTAAATAGCTGAGCAGAGGCATTGCTGGCTCCACTGGGTGTGTTGCTTCATTCCCACAGTCGGTCCGATGGCTGCTCTGTGTCCACCTGACAGCCTTTCCATGCTGCTTTTTGTGCTAAGGCTTCCATCAGCTTGTGTTTTATGGCTCCTCTTGGGGCTCTTTCAGCTCAGTAAAATGCATTTTTCTGGGTGTTTCTGAGCCAACTTTGTGCTCGCTCCTGTCCTCCCTTTAAGCCCAGACCACAGAGTGTGTTTAACTCTCGTGCCTTCACTGCAGGCAGAGGCTGATGAAGGAGCTGTTTGTGCTCCCTTTGGCACCTGGTATATAGATATATTTTTTTTTTTTCCTTGTGCTGTGGCAAATAACCAGCATTTTGTTCTCTCATTCTGCTTGTAGCACGCTGACCAACTAATAGGTTTATGTTGTGGGTTTTTGGAATGATTCATTCCTGTGGATTGGCAGCCTTGCTGCTCTCTAGGAACAGGCTGAGTTCATTGAAGGATGTGATTTCGTGAGTACCTTAGGTTGGAGCCTGTACAAACAATTAGAGCTGAGATCTGAGTCTGAAATGATGGATATTCAGTATTTTACTTGGTTTTAGACTTCCACAGCAGTACTTCCCTCCTGCAGTAGCTCTCCCAAAAGCTTCTTAGTTTATAAGACTTGGAATATTTTTGTCTTTTGAGGGCTTTTCACTTGTGTGCCATAAACAGGAATAAAGACAATTTTCATGGCCGTATTTTCTTAAAGGAAACTGAGTTTTAAATGATGTGTTTGAAAATTAACTCAGTTTCCACTCATTATCCTAGATGAAAATAGTCAAATGACTGTAGTGACGTTAAAATGCAGTTGAAATTTAAAAAAAAATCAAAACCAAACCACAACCAAAAATGATCTTACTAATATTTTTCACTTTTAATATTAAAATCAATTATAAAATGTGTTTTAAAATCCTTTTTCCCCCCTATTTTTCTCAACTTGCCTGACATTCCCAGGAGATCTGAGCTCTGGCAGTCACTTTTCCAGTCAATGTGCTCCTTGCCCTTAGACTAACAGCTTCTTCCTTTTTAGCCTGGGGTTTGTTGGTTTGGGGGTTTTTCTTGCAATTTGGAGAAAGTACATAAATTAAGTCCTTTCAGCCATCTTTTCTTGGAGGTGCACAATACCCAGCAGAGGGGTGACTGCATCTTTTATATGTAATTTAGACAAATCAATCATAGAATCATAAAATATGCTGACTTGGAAGGGGCTCATCAGGATCATGAAGTCCAACTCTATTTTTATTTAGACATTTTAATTTAGACAAAATCCATTTTAGTTTAGACACATAATGCAAGTAGGCAGTCACAATTGTATTCTCATTTTGCAAGAACCTTTTGGTTTGGTTTTCTCCCCTGTGTGTCTGCCCTTTCCATGTGGTCACTCTTTAATATCTGAGTGGACATACAGAACGGATTTAAGTTCAGGATCACTGTTCCAAATGCATTGCTGCTTTCTAAAAATGATTTACAATGAGATAAAAATGTGTCCCTTTTCTTTTTCTAGTCATAAATAAGCTGCAGATTGTTGCTGTTCACAGAGGAGTAAATGGTGGTTATCTGCGTTGAGGAGCAGAAATGATTCATTTTGTTTCTGTGCAAAATGATGTTTAGAACTTTTAGCTCTGATTCAAAAATAAACACCATCACTACAAGCAAAAAATGGATACTGAAATGACTGGCTGTCCCCATTAGCAAAACTCAAATGCACAACAGTTTGAATTCAATTAAAAACTAGAAATAAGCCCGTGGCATGATACTTCCCTTGTTTATTTACAAATCATTAAAAGATTATTAGCTCATCCTTTCATCTCTTTTGTTGAAGACTCCTGTTTTAAGGAGGACTGGGGTTTCATGTGCTGGTTACTCCAGCTCCAGCTGGATGTTTTAGCTCTTGAGGCCCTGAGCCCACAGCAGAGCTGTGAGGCCAGGCAGGCAAATGTGACCCTCCTGAGGATTTCCTTGCAGGTGGGTCCAGCTGTTGAGGCTCTGACAAAAGCCCCTTGTGGCACTTTGCAATGCACAGCAGAGAACAACTTTTTTCCCCTCAGTTTCCTTTTTTTATTGTAAGTTTTTCTACAAACTTGCAGAGGATGTTCATGCCCTAAGGCCACCTCCATGGGTACATACTAAGCAACAAACCCAGCTGTAGTGATACCATATAGAATATTGGCAAGTACACCCAGGCTGGCTGCTTTAGCCAAAGTTAAATGGGAAAGCTGGAGCCTTTCCTACTGTACTGACACTTGTACAGTTCAGGAGAACATATCTAATAAATCAGGGAAGAGCCTTTAATCATGTACTTAAATACCATTAAAGAATTTATTAGGTCTGCCCTTAAGACCTGTGCAGGAGTTGATAAAAACATGATTTTGTTTTAAGTCTGACTACCAAGTGCTTTAGGTATAAATAAACCTTGCAGCCTTCCTGCTGGTTTCATGTGTGATTTGGAATAGATGGATGCAGGAGAAATCTTTGCAGGTAGTGTTGCAGAGTCAGGATTGATCCTTGTTTGTCCTTTGTGCATTTTGTCCATTCTGAAGCCCTCTGAGGTTTGAAGTGGCGCTGTCTTGTACCTGCTTCAAGTGAACCTCCCTCAGGAAGGGGGCAAACCAACTGTGTAGCCTGGAGAGCTCAGAAAACCTGACCCTGGTCCCAAGCTCAGGGTGTGTGGAGTCTCTCAGAAAGGGTGTTACCAATTATGGAATATTAACAGACCAATCACTGAAGGGGAACTGTCACTTCAGGGGTCTCAAAAAGCCCCCGTGTCCCTGTTTTGATGTCAAACATTCCAGTGTCACGTCAGGTGCTTTTTTTATTTCCTTTGATTTAGCACGACTTTGTCCGCCGAGACCGACCCCCCCGGGTGCTCATAGACCTCATCCAAAGGACAAAGGATGCAGTGAGGGAGCTGGATAACCTGCAGTACCGGAAAATGAAGAAAATCCTCTTCCAGGAGACACGGAATGGCCCTCTGAACGAGTCTCAGGAGGAGGAGGAGGTACTTCTGTTTTGTCACCCCATTTGCACCGTTACGAGTAGTTTTAGGGCAAGCTAGATGTTCCTCTCCTTAAGGTGGCAGAACGAGCACAGCCTAGGTGAGGAATGCTGTTGGAATATCATTTGGATCAGCAGAGAGGCAGGATAGGATACTGGATGATAGTAGCCCTTAGTGAGTGCTAAAGCTGCCAATAAATGCACATCTAAAATTTTGGGTTTATTTCCAATGGTGGCCTTTCTTCTGGAAGCTTTAGGGAAGAAACTCACTCAGAGGGAAGTTCTTTGCAAGAGGTGGTTCCCAGACTGTGTGAAGGAGGGTCTTTGACTGCCCAAACTGTTCTTTCTCATCAGCACAGTCAAAACCACTCAGTGTTAATATTTTTTCAGTTACCATAATTTTACTGTAAAGCCTATCATAAGCTGAGAAACAAGTCACTGGATTAATAAGACTTATTTTTTAAAATTCTTTAATATTAAAGGAGAAAAAAGTTAAAGGTTAAAGACATAAGACTCATCTTCAGTTTAAATCTTGTAATAAACAACCCACTTAATCAGTGTATGATAATTGACCTTAACTGTGGAGAAAGAAACCAGTCATTTTTCAGTTGATGAGCTTAGATGGAAATTAATGTCACTTGGTGCAGGCACATTGGATAAATAAATCCATGACTGGTTCTCACTGAAAAACATTGACAGACAAATTGATGTCTGTATTGCTTTTGCTGCAGTGTAGTGAGGTAATAATACACAGAGAGGTGCCCAAGCTCAGCACATCTTCAGGGACTTGGTTTTGAGGTCAAATGTTCCTTTAAAGCTGAACTAGAGCTCTGGTTTAAGAAATGGGCACCTGGGTGGCAGGTAGGAGAGGTTCAGGAGTGGGGGGACCAGCACTTCATGCTCTCCTTCCCTGGGATGGAGATGCACAAAAGGAGCAAGAGCAGCATCTGCTGTGATTAAAACTACCAAGTGCTGCTCCTGTTTTGACCTTCCAGCTTCCAGACCTGGAGCTTAGCTGGGGAGTGGGGGATTGTCAGACTTCTGCACTTAAGCCTCCCAAGTGTCTCTCCCCATGCATGGCAAGATGTCAGGAGAATGACAGGGCAGGAAAGGTGCCAGGGAATGGGTTTCCCACTTGACTGTTCAGCAGTTCCAAGCTCAACAGGATACACGTGGCAGCAGTAGACTCAAAGATGTATCTCTTGTTCCCCCTGTCCCCACTCCTCAAACAACAGGGGAAAGAGCTATTGTACCTCCAAGAATTCACACTCTGCATGTGCACAGCATGCTCTGCACTGCATTTGACCCCTGAGCCTGTGTCCCACCAGAGGAGGTTGTATTTATTGCTCGTGTGTGTCACTAACTCAGCAGTGAAGGAGAACAGCACGTGCTTCAGTTGCTGCCTAACTGGTTACAGCACCTGCTCTGCTGTGGATGCCACAAGACACTTCCTTGCTCTGCCTTCTGAGGTGGAAGAGGAGCCTTACAAATCCTTAACACTCAGAACACTACTAATGCTTTCCTCAGAGCTCTCACAGGAAGGTTAAGGTCATCTGGAAAGTGTTGAAGCCAGGAAGCCAATGTTAAGGTTTCATTTGCAGTCTCATCTCTGTCCTTCGTGCATAGACACTCATTAATTACACAGCCATTGCCTCATCTCATTATGTTATTTCTCCTGCAACTTTATATAAGCATCCTGAAAATATTTTCATTCTCATGTTCTCTGTAAACCAGTATTATTTTGGATTTTAAGTGCTCTCATGCAGGCTCTGAATGATCTGCTGATTGCTTAAAAAATGATCTCACAATCAAAGACAAATCTGTCAAGTCTCAGTTTTATCTTTCTGTCAGTCTCCCAACAAAATGAGTTCCCTGTTAATTGATTTGTACTGTAATTCTCCCCAAGCTCCCTTTGGAGGCCAGCACAAACTGGGTGCAGCAGCAGGCTGTTCATTTTAGTGAGTCAGGGCTGTTTAAGACCAGGAGCTGAAGGATGTTCAGAGCTCTGTCCTCACTGTGAACTCCTTGCAAGCCTCTTCAATGCCACTAGTTAATTACAAAGGACTCCATGAATTCACTAAATCAGTCCAGACTAAGCACATACTCTGGGATTACTCTACTCCTCTGAGTATGGAACAAGAGAAAAGGCTGCTAACTTCTGAAATTTGTCTGTAGAATCCAAAATACCTCCTACATGAGGAATATTTATTTATTTATATCTTAAGTTTTAACCCCTGAAATAATGCAGGCTTTTCTGAGTCAGCTCCTAAAATTCTTCATTCACCTTCATCTTGGCTGAAAACACAAGGTTTCAAGGGGTTTTTAGCTTGATGAAACATAATTGCTGACTGCTTGGGACATGGAGGTTAAAACCTCTACACCTGTTAAGCACCATGTAGAATTTATCAAATAAGAAACCAGTGGGTTCATTGTCTTACACTTTTTCTGATTCAGGAAATGTGTTGGAGCATTGTTGTAATTCAAACTTAGATTTTTATTTTTTTTTTCCCTTTTAATTATGAGACTCCTTCCACCAGTCATCCAGTATGCCTGGATGTCTCCTATCAAGCCAAGAGCCATGCCCAGACTTACTGATACTTGAAAAAAACAGACTTGAAGCCTGATGCAGTAAGATTACAGGGGAAAAGGCAAAAGCTGCCTGCCCCATAGAGATTATTCCACAACCCAAGCAGCCCCAAGAAGTGTAGTTGGCAAAATAATGACCTTGAAGTCTGCAGAGTCACCTCTAAAACAGACTTTGGGCATTGCAGGCTCGTGCTGGGCAGGTGATCTCCTGCAGTATCTGTAACTGATGCCCCTTGTTTTATAGGACAGTGAGCATGGATCAAACCTGAGTAGGAAGATGGACAGTCTGGGCAGCAACCATTCCATCCCCAGCATGTCTGTGAGCACGGGCAGCCAGAGCAGCAGTGTGAGCAGCATGCAGGAGGTCCTGGATGAGAGCAGCCCTGAGCTGGTCATGATGCATAGTGACGAGAGCACCCTTAATTCCAGTTCCTCCGTTGTTCACAAGAAGGTATGTTCCTGGTGCTCTCCATGGCTTCCTGCAGTCCCTCTTGGCTCGCCCGGTCTGTGTGCTCCGGTCTTGTGCTGAGCCATCTGCTGAGAGCAGGAGCTGGTGCTGGGCTTGCCACAGTCAAGTTCTGTGGGTTGTTTTTTGGGTTTTTTTTTCCTATAAAAGCATTTAAATAACCTCTGAGAACAGAAAGAGGCTGCTCATGAAAGAGCTGTGAGTGCCTAGGCAGGGTTCACCCAGACTTGCTGCATGTGCCTCCTCGCCCGGCCCCGCATGTGCACTTCTCCATCTCTGCTTGTCTCAGTCCTTGTCTCCTCGGGAATGACTGTTCTGTGCCCTGTGCTGTGCTGACAAGTGGTCACAGCAGCTCAGCTAACCCTTTACCAGTCACAGTGTGTGATTAAAATCCGCTTGCACTTGGATTTCCCTCGTGAGAAGTGGAAGTTTGCAGAACTTTGGACCCTCCCCACGAGGTACGTTTGGAGTCAAGTTCCACTCGATGCTTTTCTGCTCTTCTGCTGCATGCTGTGATCTGCTGCCTTTCCTTTTCTTGGTGCTAGGTACCAAGCTGTAAGTCAGCATCTAATCTCAACTATTTGGTTGACTAAAATAGTTTTGGCTTGGCCTTAGCAGTGTCAATTGCTAGTGGGCAGCAAAATGTAGGTTGGTTGTGGGATTGCATTTGCAAGGAACTTCAAAGTGTACGTTTTTGCTTTTTGCCAGAGGAGGTAAAACATTACAGCAGCGTGAAAGCCATGAATTTCTTGTTTGTAAGGTTACAGGACAGCCTGGTTTTAACTAACTAAATATTTGTAAGCAGTTTTTCCTCCTGAAACACAGTGTTTGTGTCACTGAATATCGAAGTACCTGCAAAAGGGAGCTTTTGAGGCACTTGGTCTTTAACAAAAGATGGCCTTATGTATTTAAAGATACTGGCAGATAAGTTGCACAGGTTTCAGGGGCTTACATCTTTCTGAAATACATTTGAAAGCACCTTTACAGAAGATTTTGTTTTCACCTCTCTGAAAAAACTAGTGTTAAGTACCAAATGCCAAGCCCAAGTAACTGTACTGAAGGAAGAGCAGTGCCACTGATGTGGTGGTTTTAGTTCTGGGTGGTTTTAGTTGAAGCTCTTTCTCATTTTGTGTAGGTTCAGAAATGTGTTTTAACTTTAATTTCACATTGTTAAATAGTCATATTTACTACAGCATTAAAATAGGAGTTTGAGGGGCTGATTTACACATGGGTTATAATGTTACTGCTCAGTGTCATTACAGTTGATGAAAACAAAATGTGAGCTGCTCCCAGCAGACATAAATGGCATTTGTGAAAGGAGCAGAGTTCCTGCTTGTTTTAAGAAGAATGTTGTGTTTTATAATGGTTGTATGGCACTTCTGAAGTACAAATACAGGATTTCTGATGCTGTGAATTCAGTCCTCTTAGAATTCTGCATAGCTGTTCTCTTGAGATTAAGGCATTCAGTTGAGTAGGATGCACAAACATGACACCACATGGAAATTTTTATCTGGTTTGGAAAACCAGGGTGATTTGCACACTTGTAACTGAATTATTGAAAAAGAAATCACCTGTAGATCCCTTAACACAGGTGTTGTAGGTTAATTTTGGAAACACAAAGACCAGATCTGCACTGATGGTCTTCACAGAAGAGTTAACAATTGGCTGCAATTGCTGATCCTTGCTGTGGAGTAGATTCCTTCTGCATTGGAAAATGCTCCCCTCAGTTGGATGTATGCATAAGGCAGATTTAGACTGTGTGCAGCAGGATGTATTCCAGTCTGCAAATATATTGTTTTAATTTAGTACATGATTTTTTATTCTCTGTTACTTTGGCAAATGCAATTTTAAATGGAAAACTGCTTCATGTGTATATCAGGTATATATTAATACACATGAAGAGACTAAATTTGGAGCAGGACACTTCAGGGGGTTTATATACACATAGATCCCACTTTATTTTCAAGGTAAAATTCCTTGTTCTGACAAGACTTCAGTTTATCTTTGTGCTTTAACTGTGTTTCTGGGAGGTGTGATGAAGCTGTGAAGTGTTGGGTGTCACTCTGGAGCCCAGCACAAACAAAATGGGAAGAACCTGGGGTTCAAGTTTAATTTAAGCTTTTTGTTTTGCATTTAGTCAGCCTCTAAAGGCTAAAAAGAAAATACTGATGAACATGATCAGCCAGCTGTCTGCATTACGTGGGCAATAGGGTCACATATGAGGTGGTTTTGACATGGGTCAAATCAAAAGTGTTCTGTAAAACTGTGCTATTCCACAAATGTGTTAATTAACAACCTCCAGATGTACCAGGCTGTGTAAAGGGACCAAGATGGCAAAATGGCCTGGATTGTTGATATTTTCTAAGGCTCAAAGCTCCAAAGTGTGAGAGGCCTTTCAGTTTTTTTTGGACCACAGCCCCAGAATGCCGTGTGTAACCAAAACGTAGGATGGAAGAGCCTGTGGTCTTGTGTGAGATCTTGTTCCCAGCCTTGAGTGCTTCAGAGAGCCAGTCTGGGGTGGCCTTGACCTGGGGTAAATCAGGAGCAGACCATCAGCTGTGTGGTGCTTGGCTGGGTGAGGCTTCAGGCATCTGCACTGAGCCCTCCTCGTGTCTCTGACCAGCCCCCCTGGGGCAGAGGCAAAGCATAAGAAACAGGCTGATGTCGTAAAAAGCAGTTGTAAACAACTCATTTTCTTTCTTTTTTTTAACAGCTGCTAGTTGGCTGTAACTTCCAAAAATGTTTTGTGGTCACAGGGTAAGTGAAATGACCTGTTCTGATCTGGTTGGTTTTTCACTGGCTGTACTAGTTCATGATGGCCAAGGTGCTTGGGTTTTGCCTGGTGGAGGATATAGCATTTGGGGTAATTCCTCCATGGAAAACAGGCACAGCCTCACCCCTTCCACAACACAAAAGCTTTGGGACAGCAGTAGAGCTCTGTGTTTTAAACTTGTGCTTTGAGCAAAGGTGACTCCCACCTGTCAGCAGAGTACAACTGGTAGGGTGGAAGAAAAATCACTGGACAGGAAGAAAACAATAATAACAATAAAAAACCATAATTGAATGTATAGCTTTTTGTCTAATTTAATTTATATCTGTGTCCTAAACTCCTGGGAGGAAAAAAAATGGCCATAATGTCTGCTACTTGGGCAGGAAGGCTGCATCCTCCCTTCCTGGGATCTCAGTCCATCCCTGGGATCAAAGCCTGCTCCCTCAGGATACCTTAATGACCAGCACATTCTTTACAGGAAATTCAGATGTCCAGCTTGGGTGAGCTGTCCCACTAGGAGGTTTTCCTTGCCCCCTTGCAGGTTTCAGGTTGGTTGCCATGTACATCTCAGTGTGTTCAGTGTAAGAGTTCTGGTGTTCTAAAGTCTCTTTTCTGAAGCCAGTTAAATAACTCTGCTTCTCCATCCAAGGATCATCCTCCCAGTGGATACATATTCTCATGTCCATCTCCTGCTGGGAGCTTGTTCAGCTGCACAGTTTGGGAGATGAAAAGTAAATGACACCTCTAATACAAACCAAACTGTATCTGAGATCCCCCCCCAAAACAAAGCCAAAAAGGGGCAGGGAGTTAAACTCCAAATACACTGGGCTTGAAAGACACATAACCCAGATTTTAAAAGCAGATAAATATCAGTTAATTCATCTTAAAAATTAGGATAAAGAGTTTGGCTCCCAGAGTAAGACAATAAAATAAGAGTTATAGACATCTGTTGATATATCAAATGTTTTGTCACCTGCTTTGTTCAGCTGCTGTTATATTGCAGTGTGGGCACAGGTGGCTTCCCAGAAATATTTTGTTGCCCTCAGTGAATTTATTATTATTTTATTTCCACAAAACTATAATAGTAAAATGTTGTACTCTTTTAATCTAAATAAAAAGCCACTACAATATTATTTTGCTCAACTGCAGTGCTCAGTTGTTGCTAGTTCTTGCTTCAACCATAAAATCATCAGTACTTTCTGAAACTTGGGCAATGAAATGTCAGGGAAACCTTGTGATTAAAACCTAGTTTATAACCAAAAGATGAAAAGAGGATGTTTGCTGTTGATCATCATCACAAATTCTTTCCCAATGTCTGTAATAATCAGGTAGCTCTGTAATAACTGCTGCAACTTGAGTGACTTCCCAAATCCATCAAATTACCCTGAGCATGTTGCCTGTTGGTGCCATAATTAATGTGCAGCATTCATGGAGAATTCTGTGCATGGAGAGTGCTCTGGTGTGGTGGCTCTACAAGAGTTACAGCTGAGGCAAAGCTGAGGGTGTTCTCCTACATATCAAGATTTATGATTCCCACTTGGAAAGGATGTTTTCTATGAGATGTAAAGGATATTTATGTAATTACTTAGTTTTGGCTTGCATGTGCTTGGCAGCAGTGACCCCTCACATACCTTCTGGAATCAAGTCAAGCTGGTTGGGGACATGAAGCCTTGTCTTGAAAGATTTTTTGATACTTAAACCTCTCTGTAGATTATCAAGGCATTTAGTGCAATGTATTAAGATGAATGATGGCACACTGTTGTTTTCCTTGCTCTTTAAATTCCTAGAAGGCAGGGATTTGCTGCAATTCCACTGAAGTCCTTACTGTGGCTCGGAAATTGCCTTTCCCATTTGTCTGGGAGACTGGCAGCCCTTCCAGTTAGTGAATCCTCCTGTGTAAACAGCATTTGTGAAGGGTTTTATTTGGTGTGCATAACAAAAACCACTGTGGGCAAGTGACTGTGCCTTCTAAGGTGAAAGTGTAGCTGTTCTGGCTTTGGGCTTGTCCAGGGTAGTCAGAGTTTGGATGATAAAGCCTTTTTTTAAGTGAGGAAGGTGAAAAGGCACTGTGTGGTAGAACTGGGATGGACTACAGGGAGTAAAATCCAGGTTCTTACTCTGCAGGGTGACCTTGGCAAGACTCATGGTTAGAGCAGGAACTCATGTGCATTGTTGGATGCTCAGCCAATACACCAGGAGCAGCTATTTAGATACCAAGCTGGAAGCACCACTTAAGTAACTGGAAGCTCCACCATCTCTGGTCAGACAGTACTGTAGAAATATTTGGGAGGCTTTTGTCCTGGCAAATATGATCAGCCAAATACCCCCATTTGTTGTGATCAGCCTGGAAACTGTTTATGTGGATGATACAATCAGAATAACAAATTATTCCTTCAGTAGGAAGTTGAAACTTCCAGATTGTTGACCCTAAATAGAAGGATTTATTGTGAAATGTGATCTGAGTATGCCCAAAGTTGCAACCTTAAGGCAAATATTGCAAACCCCACAGAAAACAGATGACAAGTGAAATACACACAGATGATACATTACTTTAAAAACAAACCAGGGTTTGAAGTGCAGATTTGGGGCCGAGGGATACCCTGACCCAAACTCAATGAGTTTCTGGGGTGCTTTCAGTCAGATTTTACTTACTGAGTACCTCGGGCTCAGGTGCCAGTTTTGAGTCTTTGTTTCCCACAAATCTGGAGCTAAAAGTTTTGAAACAAAATTTCCTGATCCGTGCCAAAACCTGAAAGGCAAAATGACTGCAGTGTCTCTTAGCAAGCTTTTGGCAAAAGAAAATGAAATTAAAAGAACAGAGATGTATTTTCTGGGTTTGCAGGTGGATGTTTGTCATAGTAGCCATCAGTCACATCATCTGAGGAAGGTGGAGCTGGCTGCTCTCAGGTTTATTTCTCTTACTAGCAATCTCTGTGGCAGTGTAACCTGTTAGACTTGGTAACTGTTCGTGCCAAGTGTTTTTATTTCTGGTAGTGTGGCAGCTTTTTCAGATAAAAATACTTATGTCACAGAATTTAGCCTGTGAAAGTTCCATGGGCTTAGCTGAGAGTTAGTAGTAGATGGCTGCCTGATGCAGAATCCTCAAATCCCAGATTAAGGGGTGCCAAGGACAACCACTGAGCTTTTTGTCCCCTTTCAATTGGTCTTTTGGCTTTCTCAGTTGCAAAGGAATTTTGCCATTCCTTGCCCAGCTCAGTTTGAAATGGAGAATGTGGTTAATTCACATTCCTGAAGGGCAGTTAGCTTCTGCTCTGAGCTTCTTATTGCACTGAGGTTAGGAGAAGTCCCATGAAACAAGACCAGGGTGACACTCTTCCCTCTAAAAATCCACCTCTTAGATAACAGAGAGTAAATCACAGATTAATTTTCCTGTATAAGCAGTAATTGCAATTTCAACTTGTCATTTTAGGGGGTGTTTTGGAGCATTCTGAAAAACCTGAATGCCTGTTTTAAAAGTTTCTGGTCTAGATTTTTTTTTCAGTGATTTGCTGTTTCTCTGGTTTTAATATTTCACATTCCTGCTGCCATACTAATGTAATGGAGAGAGGGAACATGGTCCAGGCATTGGGATATTGCCAGCAGACCTTAAGAACCCTGTGAATGACCATGGGTGATAGTTGTCCTGTCTCCACCTTCATTTCAGAGCTATAGTAGAGGAGTAGTAGCTCTCGTTTCCTCCATGGTTCAGGTGGGTGAATCTTGAATAAATCTTTACCACAGGCCTTTTTTATTCAGCTGTACTTTTTGGTGAGGTTGTTCCAGTTTCAGCCTGTAAAAAAGTTCCCTTTGGCAGTTCATAGAATCATGGAATGGTTTGGGTTGGAAGGGACCTTGCCTGGCTGGGGGGCTGCTGTTCCAGGAGGCTCCAAAGCACATCAGTAGAAATATCAACCCAAAAGGTGATGTTGGTCAGCCTGACTGCTTTGGTTTATCCAGGATATCCCTGACTGCCTTGCACAGAGTCCTCCTTACACCTGCTATCACCTATTGAGGTGGAAGTGCTGCAAGGCTGTGGAAAATTAGGGATTGATGTCCTTCCAGTGAAGCCACGAGTCCGGTTAAACCGATACTGTTAGACTTTAAATGTTTAATCAAGGTTTTTTTGGGATGACTGTTCTAGAGCCAAGATATGCCTTTCTCAGGAATGTGTGCAAGTCTGAGAGCCCTGCCTGTCACACCAGCATGCCCAAATTGAAAAGGAAAGATCAGCCCAACTGCCCTTCTGTTGCAGTGCCTCCCCTGTCAGACAGTGCCACAAATGTCCAGTATAAGGATGACCAATATAAAATGAAACTGTGACTTTTTATTACACTCCATGTTCCTGCTATTTCTGTGGAATACTGTCCTTTTTAACTGCTTTGGCTCATTCTGTGTCCTTGTGGTGGGTGTGGAGGAGCCAGTGCAGGCTCAGGGGTGGCCTTGGCCACTGTGCTCTCTGTGCAAGGCAAGGGGAAAGGTGAGCGTGGAGCAGGAACACTCAAAATGAAGGATATGAGGAAAGGTTTGGGGTTCAAAACACTTTCAATCAATGTGTTGTTCAGCTCTTGATATCAGCATTTCTGTACCTGTTTGGGTTTTGCTTGAGACCATTTCCAGAATCCTGTTGAAAGGGGCTGAAGGTGTGTGGGTCTGGGGCGAGAAGCAACTGGAAATTGAGGCCAGTAGAGAGGGAAACCAGGTGTCTGCAGAGTGGGAAAGGAGCATTAGGATAGCAGCAGTGTCCTGGTGGAGATGCTACTCCATGGTGGCTGGTTTCTCACCACTGGGCTGCTCCTGCTCACCTGCAAACACTTGGTGCATGGAGCCAACTGTTCACTGCAAGGGGTTGTGTCTTTAGAGGCTCTGGCAGCCTTTATTTTGCACCCCTGACAGTTGGAAACTTGATTTAGTTCAGGAAGAATCTCAGTCTTCCTTGGAAATGTTAGGAGCTGGAGGTTGAGGACGGGAGTCACAGAACTGTGGTGGGTGACAGCGTGGCAGGTGTGTCATCCCTGCTGCCCTGTGGAGTGGGTGCTGCTGTCCGGGTGTGGTGAGGGCAGTGGGATGTGCCTGGTGTCCCAAGGCTGCTCCATCCCAAAGGTGTAGCCTCGGGGCAGTCACCATCCCAATTAGGAAAATTGTGGTGGCGTTTTTTGCTGGCCAAGGGTTTCTCCTGGAGCTTTGTTCCATGGCAAAACCTGCCCGCTCCGTTTCGGGGAGGCACAGCCGCTCCCGGCGGAGCCTTGGCAGAGAGCAGGAGTGAGGCTGCACCGGGAACCATTCGTGCTAAAACCTGGGAGCTGTTGCTTTAAAAGGGAGAGAAAAAAAAAAAAATCCTTTGTGGGCTGTGGAGAGAAAGTGCTAGAACTGTGCAGGATCATGACTGGAAAGCAGGATCCCTGAGTGGTCACGGAGGCTTTCCTGGTGCTCTCCAGCCTGCCGTGGATTTAGCCAGGATGCTCGTCCCCCACAGCAGATAGCAAACAAGGGACAAAGAAACCCTACTGAGGACAGACCGCTCGGCGAAGGGAATGAGGCAGGATGTTGCTCTTGTGTTAAAAGGGAACATCAGCTCCGTGCCTAGACATGGGAATCACGTTTTCACCAGGATCGCTGGGTTGCAGTGCTTGAACCCGACCTTCCCGAGGACTCCGATCGCTCTGCGCCGCCTCACGCTCCCCAGCCGCTTTTTTTTTTTTCGCACATAATGTAATCTCGGAGGTTTTTAAAAAAAAAAGAAAAAAAGAGAGAGAGAGAGAGAGAGAGGCAGGCAAGGCAGCCCGATCCAGGGATTCGGAGGCATCCCGCTAGCGATCAGCTGACGCGCCGAGCCGAGCTGCAATGTGTTGCTTATTCATTTTGTACGGTGGGAGCTGCCGGGAATAGCAGAGAGCTGAACTATGCCTCTCCTACAGCCGCGCTTGTGCAGACAGAGGGGTGAGAGAGAGGCAGCCGCCGCGGGAAGAGCACAGCCGGACTTTCTCCTTGTTTTTATCCATTTCTGCAGGATCATGTATTTATAAGGGATGAGGTGGGCCACAGGGATCGCAGGCCTGAGGTGCGGCCTACCCAGTCAGTGCAGAATCAGGCCCTCCACTACCGGAACCGAGAGCGCTTTGCCACAATCAAATCAGCATCTTTGGTAAGAGCCCCCCCACCCCATCCCACCCCACCCCAGCTCCGAGCCCCCATCGCCTTCCTCTCCTCCCTATGCTGTTGGTGGTGTTGGCATAGCAACTGGATATTGCACTGAAAGAGATTTTTACCTCTGTGTGTGTGTGTGTGTGTGAGAGAGAGAGAGATGTAAATGTGGAATATATTTAATTTCTCTGTGCATTTCCACTGTATGCGAGATAACCCACCTTCCTGGGTGAAGTTAATATCATTTCATCCCTCCTCCCCCCATTTCCCACCTATCCCTTTTGTTAATATATTTATTTGCATGTGCTTAAAGTGTGTTATGAGCTGTGTGAGAGGTGCTGGAACGCTGTGGAGGTGCAGATGCAGATGGGGTTTGGGAACAATAAGATCCCCGCTGCCCGCCTGAGCCGCTGCCTGTTTTTTCATTCATTCATTTATTTCAAGCAACTGTACCGTGACTGCATTTTCCAGCTTGATCCCTTGGAAGGATTGCTGGGCTGCGATAAGGGAGAGAGAGGGCTTACAGCGGGCTGTGGGCTTACAAAGGGGAGGGGGATGGGATGAATCCATCAAGATTTGTACTATTGCAAATGTGATTGCTGTGGATGCCTTTGTAGTAGGGAAAGGGGTGTGTGCCGGAAGAGTTAGTTGTGTGCCGCCTCCCCCACCCCGGGCTGCGGTCGGGAAACAGCCTTTTCGGGGGAAAGCAGTGAAAAAATGGCCCTTCGGAGCTAAAATGAATGTCATATTAAATATTTCAGCCCGATGGTATTAGAGGTCAGATGGACGGGGAGCGTTAGAAAGTACCCACGGTCTGGCCATGGCACTTGCTCAGTGCTATGACATCATCCTGGACCAACCCCGAAATTACACCAGCGAGCCCTCCCCTTCCCGCTTCACCCTCCCTCCACCGTGGGGGTTCTCCTTCCATACCACCATTTCTTGATCCCCCAAATCCCTTCCCATTTCTGCCTGCAAAAGACACAGTGTGTGCGTGTGTGTGTGTGTGTGTGTGAGTGTGACCACAGCAAAAGGTTGTGAGGGGAGGGGAAAAAGCAGCAGCAGCAGTGCCAGCAGCCAAAATTTTCCTGTGTGATTGTTGCTGCTGCTGCTGTTCAAATCTAAAATGATGCTGTGGCATTCCTGGGAGCGTCCAAGTCCCATCCTTTGCAGGTGTGCTTGGGGGTTCCTGTACCCTGAGTGCTCCCCAGGCTGGTGTCCCCTGCTCCCCTTTCCCTCCCTGCTCGCCCCCAGTTTAAAGAGTGACCTAGAAATGTGTGTATTAAAGGACTTCATGCAGCACACCTGGCACAGGCAATGATTCCTGGTCTCCTGGAGACCCTCTGCCCTGGGAATTTTTCCCTTTTGTATGTGTGTGTGTTTGCACCCAGGGCAGTGCCAGCACTACTGCCTGCACTGAGCAGATAAAAGTAGGACCCAGTTAGGTTGGCTGGAGGGAAGAAATGATGAATGACTCAAGTATCATACTCCAAACATACATACAATTTCATTGATAAATTGATATGTGTGTTGAATATATTCATGTTCTTTTACTCCCTGTGGAAAGCTGCTGCACCTTCTGTCCTGCCTGAGCAGCAGAGTCCATAACTCCTGTCTTCCTTGAATTTGTCACCCCTGGGGCTACTTGGGTGGCTTGGAGGGATTGCATGACTAGGTCCCTTTGGGAATTAATGAAAGTATGGGCTGTGAGGTATTGCCAGACCTCTGGGGAAGACAGCTCATGTCACAAGGTCACTCTTAAATCCCATGGCAGCCTCCTGTGGGGCTGGGACTGTGTCTGCCTTAATTCCTTGGTCACTTGGACTTGCTAAATCTCTCTGCTTTGGTGACCAGGTGATGATAAAGATAAAATCAATCCTGGGTGGGGAAGATGGTTGGCTTTCTGGAAGACTTCTCTTTTTTGGGTTTTCTGTGGAACATGCTCTGACAGGGACCGTTTCTGGGCTCATGTGGGGAGAGCTTTGGGTGCACACCTCAGGTGGGCAGTACCTGCACAGCACAGTGTCTTTGGGGCAGTGGGAATCACACTCATTAGCTCCTAAATTGGCCAGCAGGCCTCTGGAAAAGCACGTGGAGTTATGTGTCTTGCAAAAGCTCTCTTGTCCCCACCATACACACACACATGTATCCCCTTCCAAGTGTAGAGGGAAGTTCCCAACCTTGGTACTCCAGGAAGTGTTGGTGTGTCCTTAGCTTCTGGGGTTACATGGTTGAGGGAGAAGTTTCCCTGTGTTTACCACAGAAATATTTCACTGTGATGAGCTTTCCCTTTAATAATCTTGCATTCCCACCTCTTCATGTTCCAAAATGGAAATCCAGAGGGAGGGAAAAACCCCCAAGTTTAAACCTATTGCACAGAACCTGGGTGCCAGTGCCAGTGCCTGTGTCTGAGGTGCCCACGTGGTGTCAGAACACTTCCCTGTCACTGTGGATTCGGTCACCACTCAGTGCCTGGGTGATGTCAGTGGGCAGTGATGCCAAAAGCTGCTGCTCCTCTGGCCGAGGGAAAACTTCTGTCAGCCTTCCTGTCTCCTGCTGAAATATCTATGCAGAGGGCAGGGTCAGTCATGGAGCTGAGAATGACCAAAAAGTGTCTGGAATTTACAGCGCGGATCAGAAATTCAGACTTTATTCACCTCTCCGTGTTAATTTACTCTTTCTGTGGCATCTGGAAAAGATTATTCCTGTGTGAATGGATGTCCAAGATCCCACAGTGTTTTAAAAGCAAGCTTTGATGGTTCCCTACATCCTTGCTGCTGCCCATCAGTGGGTTTCTCAGCAGCTGGGAACACCTTCCCGGGCACAGGAAGGTTGTGCACTTGGGAGCATCAGGTGGCTTGTACTGCAGAGAATCAGAAAATGGGAGTTCTGACCCCAAATTCATTAGTATGGGGTGGTATTTGGGTGTAAAAACTTTTTATGGGATTTGCTGAACACCACCCTCCAACATGAAAGCAGGGCAGTGGGATAGAAGAAAAGCACCAGGTCTGGGGGCTGTTCACTCCACAGCTGTTCCTGGTGGTGCAGTCCAGGGTCTGGGGCCTCAATTCCTTGTTATTCAGCCTTAGATCAGGATATTGAAGATGGAGGGAAGACTGGCATTCCTGAAAGGAAGCTGGATCTATTTCCAAAAACAAGCTGAAGCAGTTTCAGCGAGTGCAGGGGTCACAGGAGAACTCACATCAGGCAGCTGAACACTCCAGATGACCCAGTGATCTTCAGAGTGATTCCCCTGCCCTGTTGCTCTGCAGAAGCATCATGTGAATCAGAAGCAAGCTGGATAGTCTTCCAGAGAAAACAGTGAAAAGAACTATCCCCAGAGAAACAGGCTGTGAATGTACCTTTCTGGTCTTTCAGGAGTGCCTTGATATTACTCAGGTTAAAGAAAAAAATGAGCAGATGTGGGTTAGAAAATTGAAGGAGCTTAACTTTGGTCATAATTCAATCATCAATTTTAATAGTCATTTTTTTTCCTAGATCACTTCTCTCTTTAATCATTTTTTGTGGTAACAGAAACCATCACTCACATGGAACAGTGGTGGAAAATACCCTGCATATTTCTGCTGTTGCAGGGAAAGTTGCCATGTGAAATGGAGATCAGGTACCTACCACATCTCCATATTCTTTTGCAGACTGTCAATGATCCATAAATTAAAAGTTACAACTAGAAATCTAAGCCTTGAAGCTCAGCAAACTTGTGTTTAAAAAGAAGGGCAGAGGTTCTGCATGGTGATAAGGCTACACATATAGTTATTTTCAAGTGAAAGTTGTTTTTTAAATGTGTTCAGAGATGCACTGATCTGCACTTCTGGGTACCTTTCAAGCTTGACCCTTTAAATCCCCACTTCCTCATGCATCTCCTCAAAAGCTGCTTTTACAGTTCTCAAATTAAATGATCAAATAGTTAAAGCTTCATGAAGTCATCATAGAATCACAGGATGGTTTGGGTGGGAAGGGACCTTCAAGCTCATCTCATTCCACCCCCTGCCATGGGCAGGGACACCTTCCACTAGCCCAGGTTGCTTCAAGCCCTGTCCAGCCTGGCCTTGGACACTTCCAGGGATGGGGCAGCCACAGCTTCTCTGGGCAACCTGTGCCAGGGCCTCCCCACCCTCCCAGGGAAGGATTTCTTCCTGACATCTATGACATCTGATTTCCTAGAAAGATCAGACAGTGTGGACACTGTTTCAAAGGCCTTGGCATTCTCTTTGAAGTCCAGATGCCAGCAAAAGAAGGATGTGATCTCCAGGGTCTGCAGAGCCAAATGTCCACATCCACGTGAGCAGGATTCCCTGGATGTAGCCAGGACAGTGACACCAGGGCAGCCTGGCTCCCAAACCAGGTGCCTTCACATGAAGCTGTTCTCTTGCACCCTTTTCTGCTGAAGCAATGACTTCTTATTCCAGAGGGTTGAGTTTCCCCAAATGGACTCATCAGGCTGCTGCCTTGGTAGACCTTTGCTCTAAAATTTCTGAACTTGTTCTTTCTCATCTTTGAGTTCTTCTCTTGCTCTGAGAAGCTGCTGGTGGAGTCTTGCTCAGTGCTCTGCTTCATCCAGCACAGAGGAGCTCAGTATTTTGGTTATCAAGAGGTGAGAATAACTGTCCTTTAGGAAAGGGTTCAGTGTCTTGGTTAAACAATGTAGAAGAAGAAACTCTGAACAGCTGCTGGTTTGGAGGAGAAGTTGTGAGCTCAACTCCCTTATGTAAAGCAAAAATCTTGGAGGGGTGAAAGAGAGAAAGTTTGGATTTTATGGCAAGTGAACTGCCTGTGGGAGTAGGTTGGAAGAGACATCTCTCTTCTCAGTTCTGTGTGTGCCAAAGATACAGAGAGATAAGAAACTGAGAAAATGTCATACCTTAATAAAAGCTGTTCTGGTTTGTACAGGTTTTTGGTTCTGCTGATGACCTGATTGATTATTGTGTGCTGCAGAGAGAGCTCCAGGAAACTGCAGCTTTCTGCTGTGAAGGATCCTGACATTTTCTGGTTATGTGCAGAACAGATTTGGCAGCGAGCAGTTCAGTTGTCATCTTTTTCCCCATCCTAATCTATGGGGTTATGGCTGGGGGCTTCCTCATGAGGGGCAGCACCAACCTCTGCTCTCTGTGAGCAGGGACAGGACCCAGGGAACAGCTGGAGTTGTGTCAGAACAGGGTTAGGTTGGATCTCAGGAAAGGTTCTTCCCCCAGAGAGTGGTTGGGCACTGCCCAGGCTCCCCAGGGCAGTGGGCACAGCACCAAGGCTGCCAGAGCTCCAGGAGGGCTTGGACAACACTCTCAGGGACAGGGGGGATTGTTGGGGTGTCTCTGCAGGATCAGGGGTTGGATTTTGATGATCCTTGTGGAGCTCTTCCAGCTCAGGATATTCTGAATAGTTCATGGAGTTCCAAGTGTCGTTGTCTAAGAACACCAGAAAGGTGATTACTGGAACATCCCCAAATTTCCTTTTTAAAATGGTTGCTGGAGCTGTTCATTCATTAGGGGCTTAATCTTTAAAGCCATAATCCTTTATTCATTCATGCTTAGTCTGAAGGACTTCTGTGGTGCTGAACTGGGCATGTTCAGTAACTAATGTTCCTTCCTTCCAAATCCATCCCTCCCTGAGATCACCATGTGCAGACTTTGTCTTCGAAGTCAGAGTCCTGAAGAGCACTGGGCTTGACTGGAGACTATGGTGATGAATTAAGTCCTTATCATGAGCACCTGAATGCAGACATTAAATCTATGAGATGATCACCAAGTCTGCTCTTCTTCTCTCTCATCTTCAGGAATGGAAAACCACTTTTTGTTTTCTTCAGACTTTTTAATGTCTCATCTTCTGAAAGGCCTTATCAGCTAAGCTTATAGTTAGGAATTGCATCCTATTGTTAGGAATAAATATCCCAGACTGAATGGGAAATCTTTCCAGGATGGAATTCTTGTCATGATAAAGCTGAGCAAAACTGGAAATGGGGTGAAAAAAAAAAAAAAGGATAACAGTTAATGATTTTTGCTGTAAATAAAACAAGTGCATGTTCTACATCTCATTAGAGATCAGACCAAAGGTGAGACTGGTGAAGTTCTTAGAGGGTTCCTAGATCCATTTCTCTTCTGCTCTTGCTGTTTGCTTTGTTCTGCCAACTCCTGGGAACGGAGTATGCTGTGCAGAACGTCCCACTGCTCACAAAAGGGCTGGGCCTCAAAAATAGCACATCCAGGAAGATCTTGTGCTGCTGCTTGGAGGTTCCCGTGTCTCTGCAAGTGCCTGACCGAGTCTGTTCTCCCCAAGCTGGATGTCATTCGACATGGTAAATGGCATGTGTGAAGTGTGGGGGGTTTGCCTGTCTTACCTGGCATCTGTCTCTTGTAATCAACTTGGATGGCTTCTCAGAGGAACCTTCCTCACCTGGAAGCTTCTGGCAGAGATCTTACTCTTGACTTACTTGACTGAAGCATGCCAGTTCCTACAAACACTTCCCAGCTTGTGCAAAGTGTGGCTGTCCTTGGTATGCTTGGAAAAACCAAAAGCTTTCTGAACTGTAGGAACACACAGGGCTAGCACTGTATTTGTGTTTCCATGATCATTCCTACAATCTCACACGCTCCTGGTGGCTGGCTGAGATCTGTTCTGTTACCTAGTCCCAAGCATTTGAAGGCTGCTGAGGTGTAAGTATGTGTTTAATCCAGTCAACTTCAAAAGCACATCCTGAAATTCCTTGCACAAGGAGGATGTGATTTACACATCATCTCTTACCTTGTAGTGGATGCTTGACCTCGCTAATCCACCACCATCCCTGCTCTGACACAGTGCTCTAGGCAGGCTGGTCCTTTGGTTTCTTTGCCATCAGACATTTCCTTTTCCCTCTGGGGTTGTCTTTGGAAGGGATGGGGGGAGACAGAGGCCATCCCCTTCCATACCTTCATCCTTTCACGTCTCATTTCTCTCCTTGGGGCTCTGGCAATAGTTTTCTTGGTTGGCACCTATTTGCTGTAAATTGCTGTTAATCTGTTCCAAGGTGAAGGCTTTGAGAGGCTCTTCCTAAGCTCCTCTTCACACTCCTCCCAGGTGCTGGGAGTCATTTGAGCTGAGAGAGGTGGCACAAGCTGCCTGCCTTGGGTGACATCAGTTGGGGTGTTAATCTTGCCTGGTGATTTCAGAGCTCTTACTTGATCAGGGCTTCCTGTCACCTCCTGGTCCTGGCACACAGGGCTGCCAGCAAGTGCACTGGGTTTGCTGCTCTACAAAGCAGCTGCTCTTCTGTTGAACCTGAACCTTCTCAGGTCTGTAGGTACATCCCATCCTGTGTCTGAAAATCCTTGAAAAACTGCCTTCAAGTGACAGCAGCCCTGTAGTAGAGGCCAGTTTTTTGGGCTGCTCTGGAGGAATCCTTCAGCAAGGCTGGGCTCTTGCAGGCTGCAGGAAGGGCTATTGGTTTGTAAAGTGTCACTGATCGCCTTCAAAGGGCTGAGCTCTTTGCTTCACACTTCAGCACAAAAGCAGAGATCCCCTCACACAGAATCAGGTCCTCCAGTTTTGGCTCCCAGGTCATAAAAAGGATCAGCGGATCTTTATATTGGCGTTCCTGAAACTGTCTTTAAAAAAATAGAAATCATTCTTAGACACTTTTCTTTTTTTGAAATGGAAGCATCACCATTTGCATTTTTTTCTGAACATTTTTGGCACGACTTACTGGGTGTTTTTTTTTTTTTTTTTGCCTTCCTTTCACATGGATACACTTGGGCATGGAAATGAATGTGGAACTTGTGAGTTTGTTTCAGCTGAGCAGGGTTTAAAATCTGCTTAGACCATCTGATCAATCTTGTTAAGAGCACACAGTTCCAGAACAGCGTTCCCTTGTTAGAAAACTTTCAATTCTAGGAGGGAATGAGCTCAGTCTACCATCGTCTTGAATTTTAAGGAGAAATTTTGAAGGAGGCTACTCATAAGAGGAAATAGGTGTTGAAGGACTGAATTGGCATTGGGGCATTACTTGAGGAGGAAGGAAAGAATGGGTGGGTCGAGGGGTTCTTAAAATGGATCCCATCTTGTAAGTCCATGTCACCCTCAGGATTTGAGTCCTGTGTCTGAAAAAAGTTATCCCCTGTGTCTGAAGAAGGTTGTCCATCATCCAGCCACCTTTGTTTCCAGATCTCCTCCAGTGTTTGCTGGAGTGATAAATAACCAGTAACTTCCTTTATTTGTAACATGGCATTTTCTGCTGCGTTACCGAAAACACACACAACAGTCCCAGGTAAAGGTGGGGGGCTAAAAATCAGGAGAGAGAAACCTTGTGTCTCTGTGACATTAAACAGCAGCACCTCTGAAACCTGGAGCAGCATTCCCTGAAAGCTGATCTCTGAGAGGACAGCAGAGCAGGGCCCGGCTTCCAGGTGAGCTCCAACATGGAGACAGCTTGTCTGTGAAAGGCAGGCTGTGCAGCACTTCTTCCCCTCTCCCTGCCATCAGGTTACAAGACAGATCCATGAGCATGAGCAGGAGAACGAGTTGCGGGAACAGATGTCAGGATATAAGCGGATGCGGCGCCAGCACCAGAAGCAGCTGATCGCCCTGGAAAACAAGTTGAAGGCCGAGATGGACGAGCACCGCCTCAAGCTGCAGAAGGAGGTGGAGACACACGCCAACAACTCGTCCATCGAGCTGGAGAAGCTGGCCAAGAAGCAGGTGGCTGTGATGGACAAGGAGGTGAGTGGGGTTGGAGGGAGAGGTGAGTCCAGGTAAGAGAAGATTGGGGGAGTTGCTGCTTTAACCCCACGTGCTCTGTGTGTGGTCACTGTCCAGAGCTGCCCTGGCCAGTTTGGTGAACCAGCCTCAAGTCGTCCTTCTGGATGATGGGCACTCCATTGGCATCCACCAGTGCCACAGCCAGTGACAGCTTCATAAGAGAGGCTGGAGATCCTTGTGGGGACCTTGTAGGAGCTTTGCCTCATGGCTGAGGGGATGACAAACCTTGCTGCTGCTCCTCGCTCTGTTTAAAAATCAGCATGTTGATCCACGCAGTGAATTAGTGGGGTTGTACCTCCTGGGGTGGGTTTGGTGGGGAGATGAGAAGCACAAGAAAACTCTTACATTTATATGGCCATCATGGATTTTCAGTGCAAGCAGTTTTCCTGTGGCTTAATGCTCATGGCTTTGTTTAGCACAGTGAGGGAGGAATGACCAAAAAACACAGCACAAGACTGATCTGTGCTGGATTCTGTACCTACTCACCCTTTGTTTCTCTATTATTTTTTTCCTCTCTGTACCTTGCAGGCAAAGGCAGCTGCAGCAGATGAAAAGAAATTCCAGCAACAGATTTTGGCTCAGCAAAAGAAAGACCTGGCGACCTTTTTAGAAAGTCAGAAGAAACAATACAAGCTTTGCAAGGAAAAGATTAAAGAGGCAAGAAACCCTCATTTTCAGGGCTGAAGGGGTGTGGAATGAACACAAGCCAGTCTTTGGTTTTGATAAAGCAGAGCCAGCCCAGGGGTTTAAGGGATCCTGTCAGGCTTGGAAGCAAATTTAGATGCTCAGCAAATAAAATTTCAGGAACTGGGACCATCTGGCAGCATTTTCAGAAGAATCTCTGGGGGTGCTAGAGGTGCCTTCATAACTTGCTGTAGAGCAGAATCTTTGAAACCAAGGGTGATGATGGAAAATGGGACTTCACAGAGAAGTGAATTCTTCTTCCACTTTCTCCTCATCTGTTTTTTTTTATTTAAGGTGTAAGTAATCAGAGCAGCCATTCAGTGTCTCTTGACTAAAAGCCCTATGATCACTTATATGAATTAGAAGTCTGTATAAAAATATAGTATATGGCTGATCTGTGCCAAAGTGCATTATTTAACTACAGTGTCCCCACCACACTGCAAAAATAATTTGCTGTTAAGAATGTAAAGGTGAGAAAATGAATAGCAAGGAGCCCTGTTTTGTGATTTACAGGCATGAGACCTGTTGAAGTAAAACTTTAAACCCAGGCTGGACTGTTTGTAAAGCAGGCACAGAGCTTTGAAGGGACCTGAGGGGTCCTGGGCAGCCAGAGCCTCCCCTGCAGTGGTGTGTTACTCTCTTTCCTCTCTGTGCTGTTCACTCCCCAAATGTCTGTGTTTAGTGGCTGATTTTCCTCCTCTTGGTGTGGGTCATAACAACTCTGGGGGCAGCAGGGCTGGGCATGGCCGGGTGATGGGTCAGGTTCTGCTGGCACCTGGTGTTGTAGCAGGATTTTGGGGTCCTGGATGGCAGGGATGTGGTCAGTGCCTCCTGCCAGCCCTGTGTGACCATGATCCTGAGGGAAGCCTTGTTTTGCCCCTGCAGGAAATGAACGAGGACCACAGCACGCCCAAGAAAGAGAAGCAAGAAAGAATATCCAAACACAAAGAGAACCTGCAGCACACACAGGCTGAAGAGGAGGCCCAACTTCTCAGCCAGCAGAGACTCTACTACGACAAAAACTGCCGTTCCTTCAAGAGGAAAACGATGATCAAGAGGCACGAGATGGAGCAGCAGAACATTCGGGAAGTATGGCACTCCTCACTTCCTTTCCAAGCATTTCTTTACCTGCTTTAGCTCCATGTCTCTAAAACAGCTGCTGACTGAGGTTAGATCTTCATGTGTGAAGTTGCTAAACAGAACTGGGAAAAAAAAGTGGGGGAAAAGCTGTGGGGAATAGTGTTCCACACAGCTGTGGCTGCTTTGATTAGCTGAGGAGGGGTGGCATCGTTGGCTGGCAGACAGAAACATGATGTGGGACACCCACCCCAGGCCAGATGCCTCATCTGAGCTCCCAGGTGTTGGATTTTGGGGGATCCTTTGGGCTGCCTTCACAGCACAGGGCAGTTTGTGCCACAGAGAGCTGTGGGATGGGGCAGTAGTTTGTTGAGGAGGAGCTATTCCCATCCTGCTTTCCCTCATTAGTTACTGCCTGTGGTCAAATACCACTTTGGAGGAGGAGTTGCTACTTGTAGATTTTTCTGTAGTACCTGCATTCTTCATTAATGTTATTTTTGGATGAAGACTATCAAATAAGAGGGTATTTTAGTGAAGACTGAGTGAGGAATGGTCAAAAATATCTAATGGCACTTGGCCTGCTATGTCAAATTTTCCAGCACACTTTTCACTTCAGAGCTTTGCCACCCTTGACTTCAGATGTGCCTGGGGCTGCTCAGCTGCTTTGCAAATCACATCCAGACATCTCAACTCAGGCACACTGAGAATGAATGAGTGTGAAAAATCAGATTTGGGCACCCTTATCCCAGCATGTAAGAGCTCTGTGGCAGGGATGAGAACAGAGTTCAGTTACCTAGTGTGGCATTTAACCAGCAAACACACCCCTGAGCTCCTGCATTTAAGCTCTTAAGAGGGACCTGATAATTTTCAGAATGATCTGATTGTTTATGTCCTGAAAATAAAATCCCTGCTAACTACTTCAGATACACTGGATCAGACACCTGAAGTAAATAACACTTTCAGAACGTGGCTTTCATGATATTTTTAAGTAACCACGGAGGTTCTTTTTGTGCAGGTGGGAAAGTGTTTGAGAGGGGTGGAGTGACTTTATGTGTTCATGCTATGTGAACTGAAATCAGGTGTGGAATGGGCTTGAGAGAGGCTGAGCTGTCCTGAAGTGAAGACAAGCATGCCACAGCCTGTTCATTGTCCCAGCTGCCTTTGTGCCATTGGGAAATGAGCTCATTTTTAATCTTGGCTGTGGGGGGAAAATTTTTCTTAAATGTAAAGATGTGCAACGCCCTTATGGCCAAGAAGGCAGAGACAAGCCCAGGCCCTGTTTCCTTGCCCATCCTCTCAGCTCAAACCTGTCCCAGTTGTAGCAGCCAGAGGGCCTGAAGTACCTGTTTGCAGGTGCTGCTGTTGAGAGACACAACAGGATTACAACGTGTGAGCAACAGCTCAGAATAATTAGATTTTTTTTTTTGCTTCTCCTGCAGAAACTCATTAGGCTGAGGCAGCACTGGGCCCTCCCCAGGCCAGGCACTGCATGTGGTGTGGGGCAGCCCCGCTGTGCCTGTCTGACTCCAGCGTGGAGCAGTGAGGTTGGAAACCTGAGGGCTGGATCTGGGATGTACCAGCAGACCATCTGTGAAGGGCTCCAAGTATCAGCAAGGGGTACAGCTGGAATCACAGCTCCACTGAGCTGGAGTCAGCTCCGTGCTCCACAGGTTGTGGCTGATACACTGAGGCAGAAATACAGGCAGTTATCAAGGAGGGAACTGGTGTCTCCCCCTTCCTTGGCTTGTAGCTCAGTGTGGGTTATCCTGGACTGTGCAGAGCTTTACTGCACACTGTGAAACCCGGTGAGCCTTGGGTTCTGTCCTCAGTTTAAAAACGTGCTGCACCTTGGGCCAAAACCCACCTGGACTATTCTTTTTCTCACCTGAGGTGGTGTTGGAGCCCTTCACCGCTGCTTTGGCCATTCTCATAAAAGTGATCTGGGAGAAGCCTCATTCCAGTGCCAGGCAGGGGCACAGGGGAATTTAAACCAGACAACAGGAGCCCTCAGTTCTGTCAGTGCCACCAGCCCTGAGTTGTACTTATTAAAAGCTGCTGTGATTCTCAGCAATCACAGAGGGCTTGTGTGGGGTCCCAGTGCCACCTGCTGGGGACTCCCGGGGCCATCCCAGAGCTGATGGATGGATGGATGGATGGATGGATGGATGGAGGTCACTGTTTGCATCCCCATGGTGCTGCTGGGTTTGTGTTCCCCCGTGACACACGAAATCTTTGGTGTCATGTAGACAAGTGACCAGGAGGACACTTGGCCTCGTGACCTCGACTGCAGCATCCCTAGGTGGAGAATCCATCCCTGCTGAGCCCTTCCCTGTGCTCTGGTGCAGGAGCTGAACAAGAAGCGGACGCAGAAGGAGATGGAGCACGCGATGCTGATCCGGCACGACGAGTCCACGCGCGAGCTGGAGTACCGGCAGCTGCACACGCTGCAGAAGCTGCGCATGGACCTGATCCGGCTGCAGCACCAGACTGAGCTCGAGAACCAGCTGGAGTACAACAAGAGGCGGGAGCGGGAGCTGCACAGGAAGCATTTCATGGAGCTCCGGCAGCAACCAAAGAACCTGAAGGTGCCAGAAGCTTTCCTTCCTTCCTCCTCCTCCTGCCTCTGTCCTGCCGGGCAGACGGGGCCGTGCTTGGCTGCCTCATCCGTGTGGTGGGACCGCTGCTCTCCACACCCTGTGCTCCCCCTTGCATCCCTTCCCTTTGCACAGGGCTGCTCTGCATAAGGAAGTTGTGGGCTGTGACAGCACAGAGCTCAGGGAGGGTTTTTTAGGTGCTGTGCTAATTGAGGCTGCTGGGTAAAAATAGTCCAGTTCTGAGAAAAGTGTTACAGAATTTGCTTCTGAGGAGCTGTGCTTTGTTCAGGCCCTCACTGGTGTCAGCCTGGAAACCTCGATATGGAGAGGGGTTGGGTGCTGCTTTAAGAGGAGAGGAGAGAGGACATGGGTGTGCTGAGCACTGTGCACTGCCTGAGTTCGGCTGCAGGTTGGTCACAGACCTCTGAGCTGCTCCCTGTAGGAAAGGCCTCTTCCTCCTCCCAATGTCATAGAATCATGGAGTATCCTGAGCTGGAAGGGACCCACATGGATCATCCAGTCCAAATCCTGGCCCTGCACAGGATACCCCAACAATCCCACTTTGTGCCTGAGAGCATTGTCCAAATGCTCCTGGAGCTCTGGCAGCCTTGGGGCCGTGCCCACTGCCCTGGGGAGCCTGTTCAGTGTCCAACCACCCTCTGGGGGAAGAACCTCTTTGTAGTATCCCTCCTGACCTCCCCTGGCACAGCTCCAGCTGTTCCCTCGGGTCCTGTCACTGGTCACCAGGGAGAAGGCACTGTTGCTGTCACTCTTGTCACACCCTTGCTAGTTTTCAGATCTGCAGCTTCCTCATAGGGCACAGAAGCAGAATGGGATGGAGGCTGTGAAAAAGCAAATGTATTTTGGGAGGCAGGTGGCAGGTGATGGGCTGGGTGACCTGCAGGAAGCAGGGGTGGAGGACAGAGGTGCCCTGGGCCGGGGAGGGCTGAGCAGGCCCTGTTCCTGGCCCAGCCACGGCCTGAGCTGGTGCTCCTGGTTAGGTCCCTGTGTGAAGCACACCCTGCTCACGAGCTTCAGGCGACAGCACAGAGCACAGAGGAGCTGTGGTTCTCACCAGCCCACCCATTTGGACGTACCATAACCTCTCCGTCCCCAAAGCTCTTTGCGCTCCTCACATCGTTCCTTCCTTGGCAGGCTATGGAAATGCAGATCAAAAAGCAGTTCCAGGACACATGCAAAGTGCAAACTAAGCAGTACAAAGCACTGAAGAATCACCAGCTGGAAGTAACTCCAAAGAGTGAGCACAAGACAATTCTGAAGAGCCTGAAGGACGAGCAGACGCGGAAGCTCGCCATCCTGGCCGAGCAGTACGAGCAGAGCATCAACGAGATGATGGCCTCGCAGGCGGTACGTGGGTGTCCCTGGGAGGGGGGAACAGTCAGGCTGTCAGGCCTCACAGCAGGCTGGGATGGTCTTCTCCAGCCACTGGATGGTTGTGTTTATAAGAGCTGTTTAAATAATGCAGCAGGTGGCACTTTCCCTCTTGGAATAAGGATCCCACAGAACACGTGTGGTTTCCCTGCTGCCCCTCGTGTGCTGGGGTTTAGAATTGGGTCTTCCCTGAGGCTCTGCCTCTGAGTGGGGAAGCTGTTCTTCATGGTTTTCCCAATGCCAGAGGCTCCTGGCTTTGGGAAAGAAGAGCAGCGTGCCAGCAGTGTCGGAGCAGAGGAATTACCACTGGAGGTGTGAGCGTTGTGTTCCCGATGTCCTTACAGCTACGGCTGGACGAGGCCCAGGAAGCGGAATGCCAAGCCCTGAGACTGCAACTCCAGCAGGAGATGGAGCTGCTCAACGCGTACCAGAGCAAAATTAAGATGCAGACAGAAGCACAGCACGAAAGGGAACTCCAGAAGCTGGAGCAACGGGTGTCGCTGCGCAGGGCACACCTGGAACAAAAGGTGCGTTCCTGGGGGAGGCTGCAGGGGGTCCCTGGAGCTCGGCTGGGACACGGGGTCGGGGCAGGGCTGCTGTGCTGGGGGCTGCTGACTGTGCTCGTTTCAGATCGAAGAGGAGCTCGCCGCCCTCCAGAAGGAACGCAGCGAGAGGATCAAGTTTCTGTTGGAAAAGCAGGAGCGAGAGATTGAGACGTTTGACATGGAGAGCTTGCGAATGGGCTTTGGGAATTTGGTCACATTAGAGTATCCCAAGGAGGACTATAGATGATGAGGTTAAATTTCTTTGCCATTTAAAAAAACAAAACCGGTAAAAAGCAAACCAAGTAAGGATAAAACTTGCAAACCCAACATTCCCCATGTTGACGGGCGTGCTCTCTCTCTTTCTGTCTCTCTTACTGACATCGTGTCGGACCAGTGCCTGTATATTCTTACTCCATCAGGGGCCCCTTTCCCCCGTCACGTCCCGGTGCAGGACAGCTCCTGGCAAGTCTTTTCCATAGTATGTCACAGTATTGATGTCTCTGTGCAATGATTAAAAATGTTTCAGTGAAAACTTTGGAGACAATTTTAATGGAGAAAAAAAAAAAACAAAAAAAACACAAAAAAAAACTCAAGTGGATGTATGTTGCTTTTGAGCAATCACTCATTTTACCACCAATCAATGAAAGTAAAAGCAAAAAAAAATATTAATAATTAAAAGATATCTACGATCCCAGGGGGAGAGAGACTGAATCCGCAGCCTTACCTTAACTAGCTGCTGCATAATTTTATTTTATTTTTATTTTTTTGGTATTTATTCATCAGGAATAATTAAATAATAATAAAAAAATTTTATTAAAGATTGAAAAAAAAAAAATTTGATACATTTTACAGAAAAAAAGAAAAAAAAAAACCTAATCGTGCTGTACATATCAGTGGTGACATATTATTACTTTTTTGGGGGTGGGGAGGGGCGGGCGACGACGTGGTGATTTTTAGGAGAACCATGCCAGGGGCAGCAGGGACGAGCCCTCGCCCCCCTGGGCATATTCTTGATTGTATCATAATCATTTTCTGCTGTCGCAGAGAATGTGAATACACTTAAATGAGCCCACAGGATCCCAGTAGCACAAATTGGGCTTTGTCAAATCGTGTATTTTGTGTATAGAAGGAATTTAAGGAGAGCTTTTACTTATTTTCATATTGTATTTTAACTGTTTCTCTGATCAGAAATTTTTTTACTTCTTTCCCCCCTCCCCTGCTCCCTCCTGCTCCAGCCACCCCCCACTCTCCAGTTCCGTTCCGGAGCTCAACACTGTCTGTTAGATCATCCCAGCCCTTTTGAGTTTCTCTTTTATTTTTTGGGGTTGTTTTTTTTGTTTGTTTGTTTGCTTTGTTTTTGTTTTTTGTTTTGGTTTTTTTTTTTTTTTTGTTCCTCCCCCAAGTCCACCCCCAACCCCATGATCTTGGTCATAAATATTGCATTATTCACACTTTCAAACTGTGTATTTTCTTACAATAAAAAGAGAAAAAAAAAAGGCTTTACTTCTTTTGCATGCACTTTAAAAAAAAAAAAAAAGAACAACAACAAAAAAAAAAAGGACAAAAAAACCAACAAAACAACAAAAAACATTTTTCAGGTTCCAGGGAAGAGCATGAATAACTGTCAGAGCTTTTAATTATATTTGTAAATAAAAGTGTTCATCACAATGCCTGGCTGTGTCATTGCGGGAGGGGTGGCTCGTGGCCCAGCACAGGTGTGGGGAGGGAGGTGACACATTCCACAGGTGTCCCATTCCACAGGTGTCCCTCAGCCTGGTGCTGCAGGAACCTCAGGGCTCCATTCCAAGCCCGTTTTCCTGACAGTGGAGGTTTTCAGGGTAATGGATTGTGGCTTGTTTATGTCCTGCTTCCAGCCTGAGCAGTCCCAGGATGGATCAGCCCATGTGAGCACTGCTCCAGCCTTAGTCTTGTGGGCCTTGGTCTGGAGTAGTTGGGGATGTTTTCCTGGAAAACCATCAATCCTGTTGAAATGTTTTAATGGCTGAGCTGAAAAACTGCCCTGGGGCAGACACCACCCACCTTCTGGAGTTAGGGAGTCCCCAGTTGTCACAGGGCCCCTGATTCTGTCAGACCATGTCAGTGCAGACCCTTGAGACAGCAGCTTGAAAAAGGGGGGGAGGCTCCTGGATCCACGAAGTTGAACTGCACTGTCTTCACCTTTTTTACCTCTTTATAGCCATCAGGCTGGACCAAAGGCTCATTTCTGCTCTAAGTACTCAGGACACACCCCCAGGCCTCAGTGCAAAGCTGCTGGAGGAGCAGGAAACACCTGGGATTGCAGCTTGGCTGGGACTTGGCTTCAGGTCAGTAAAGCTGGTGGAGGCCAAACTGCTGTTGGGGTTCTGACTGGGGGGTTGATGGGGCTCCTGCAGAGGGAAGGAGCCTCCACAGAGCCAGGGGGATCCTTGGGACAGGGACTAAAGGTAGGTAAAGATGGAAAGACATGACTGCTTTGAGCTGTGTCACTCCAGCCATCAGCGTATTCCAGGAGTGGGGAGTCCCTGGTACAGGGTCCAGCCTCTTCCCAGCAGGACAGAAGCCCTACAACATCCAGCTGCTCCCCTGAGCACTCCCCTCATCCCCCAAGAAGACAACCAGGCACACCACACATCTTGGTAAGTTTTTAATTGCACTGTGAGCAAAGAGCACGGTAAGATCAGGTCACCACAGGACTGAACAAAACAAAGTGGTCTCAGCTTTGAGTGGCAGCAGAGAACAGAAGAAGTGGTGTAGACCAGCTCCTGCCTCCCCCTCGAGCTGCACCTTCACTACTGGAGCGGTGACAGGGAGGCACTGGCCAGAGGTTGAGGGAGGGGAAAAAAAAAAAGAGGGAGGAGGGAAAGTTTCCCTTATGCCCTCTCCTCTCCTGAAGAGGGGGTCTCCACAGCCAGCACTAGCCCAGAAGTGGTGCTGTACCCACACCCCTGACATCTAAAGCCATCCCAGGACAGCAGAGACACCCTGAATTGACACTAATTAACAAAGGCTTTTGTTTCCCTTAAGCAGATCAGTTTGGAGGGAGTGGCCCTTCCAGGGACACCTGTCAGCAGCTCTAGCTAGGATCATCTGTACCACGGCAGTCAGCACAGGCCTGGACACACGGACACGGAGCAGGGACAGCGATGGGGTTACAGCTCCAGCGGTCAGAGCGGGACGCTTGGGTTCAACTCACTAATCAAACAAAACTACAGCGCCGTGCCCGAGCCGTGGGTGCTGCACCCCCTACTTCCCCGACAGCTGCTCGTAGAGCTTGGGCACGTAGTCATCCCACTCTGCCTGGTAGCAGGTGCCCGCCACCGGCGCCCCCAGCCCGTACTTGCTGCGGAAAGCGGCCACCTTGAACTTGCCTCGCTTGTCCCCGGAGCGGTTGGACAGGACGGGCTCGTTGCAGGAGAGCTGCTTGGGCTGCTCGTACACCAGCCACACGTAGCGGTGCAGCCCTGCGGGGAGGGACAGCGTTACCACACCGGGCACCCGGAATTCCAGCTCCGAGGTGTGCTCCGAAGTGACCCCTGGAGGTGCCTGCCCTGGGAGGCTGAGGATGATGGAGCTTAAGGCAGCTTAGAGAAGATGCACTAGATATGCTCCGTACGTGCTCCTGCTGGGTGTGGCTTCATGCAGCCACGGGCAATCCTGCACGGATCGTTTCCTGCTGGCTTCCCCCCACCCTTGTGCACTGTGTTTGATCCATGTAGCGCTGCCTGGGAACTGCTGCAGGCAGGTACCAACCTGTTCCCTTGGGAGGCCCGGAGCCAACATAATCCGACATCACGGTCCCGCTGCCCACATTGTTGCCTTTCATGTTGGTCACCAAGAAGTGATGCCATTCCCTGAAAGGAGAGGGCAAAGAACAATCAGATTGTGGCACAATCCTCTTATCACTCCAAGCTGCTGCTTTTCCATAAGGCTGCCAGTGAAGAATAAGCAAACAGCTGATCCCTGGATTGCCAAACCCAAAGAGCAGCGGTCCCAGAGCAGGGGGATGCACATCCTTTGGGATGCACAGCCTGCCAAAACCAGCTCCATTGGCCTGCCTTGTGGCCGTGGGAAAACCACAGCCTGACCCCCAAGAGTGGACGTTCCACAAGCTTCTGAGCTGATGTGAGAAAAGTGAACTGGCCCCAGGTTTAAGACTCTACCACCAACACAGACAAGCCTAACTCCAACTCACACATGGGCCAAATTAGAGCAAGCAGCAGATGCTGTGCTGCTCCAGCTGCAACAGATCTCCCAACACCCCTGGAAAGAGCAGCTGCTCCTCCCCATGCTGTCCCTGGCTGAAGGAGAGATGCAAGGACACCGTTTCTATGCCAAGCCACAGCCCCACAGCTGCACCTTAGGAGGAGCACAGTCCCAAACTCCTCCTAATCCTCTCCTCAGCCCAAGAAGGATGTTCCATTTTCCCCAGGCAACCCAGGCTCACTCCCATACCTGAACTTTGGGTCCTTCCTGCTGGGCGCATCAGGATCTGTGAGAACCAGGGTGTAAAGCTTCTGGGGATCGCAGCCATCCCACTCGATGCTGGTGGGGCGATGCTGGACCTGCAGGAGTGACCGCGTTAGCACCGGCCCCGCTGCCCGGGCCAGCCACCTGCCCTGCACACAGGGCAACCTGCGACCAGCGCTGGTTGCGACATCCAAAGAGTTCGAAGTTCATGCCAGCTCGCCCAGGCTGTGAGAGCCACGGGCCTCTGCCCGCGGCACGTCCGTCCCCGCATCAGGATCGACAGCAAAGTTCAGCCCCTCTCTGTCCCCCCGCACCAGGTGAAGCTCCGGCCGGAGCTGCGCAGAGACGGCGCAAGAGGCCCGGCCGCCTCCCGCCATTTTGCTGCGGCACCCCCCCGAGCGGGGGGCCGGGCGCTGCTCACCTGAGTGGGCGTGAGCACCTTGCCCAGCTCGTCGATCTCAACGGAGCCATACTTGACCCGCAGCGGCTGCGCCGGCTTCTGCTCCACCTCGGCGAGGCTCAGCGGCCCGTCCCACTGCCCCAGGTCCACCGGCATGGCTGTGGTTGTGACTGCGGCGGCTGCGGCGGCTGCGGCGGGCGGCTCCGCACTGCCGCCCCGCGCCATTGGCGGAGACGAGCCGCCTCCGCTCCCATTGGAAGAGCACCGCTGGCCCCCCACCCAGCTCTATGGCGCCCCGGCGGGACGGGCCGCGAGCAGGCCGTGCCGCCAGGGAAGCGGAACCTCGAGCTCCGGTTTACTGGGCAGCCCTGCCGCCCCTGCCGCTAAATTAGGTTAATGCCGCCCCTGCCGCTAAATTAGGTTAATTAATAATTAATGTGCCAGGGCCCAGCGGGGCAACCCCGTGGGCTTTGAGCGCTCTATGTGATGGCCACGTGCCTTCCCCAGGTGTAACATGTCCTGGAGAAACCTAAAAGATACCTGAATGCTTTACAGGTCTTGCTGCGGGGTTACATAGAGGGGTGATCTTTTATCAGGGCTCTTCACGCTGCACTGCCTGTGGGGTGTCTCTAAGCGGGTGAATTACAGAAGCTCTCCGGACGTGGGGTTCGCTTACCCATTCGGTTTTGCCCTCAGGAAACACCATTTTCCTTGTGTCAAACATTCCCGGCCCATGGGCGGCACCTGAGGGCAACGCCCCGGCCCCGCGCCGCCCTGAGGGGTCCGCCCGACATGGCCGGGGGGGGGCGTGAGGTGACCCCAAGATGGCGGGCGGGGCCAGGGGGGCGCCCAAGATGCGGGTGCTCAAGATGCTCTGGCGACGGCGGGCGGCTGATCCTACGACCCCCTCACGGGCCCGGCGGGGCGGAGCGG